TCAACTGACTCCCGTTCAGATTCGCCCCGTGCAGCGCCTCCTTCGCCGCCACAGCTTCCTCCACGTGTCTGTAGTATATAAACGCGAATCCACGGGATGAATACGCCGTGATTCTGTCGACGTCGCCGTACCTTCCGAACAACTCCGTCAGATCTGACTCCGTCGTGTCCATCGTGAGGCTACCGACCCAGAGATTGTTGGATGTGAAACCGGAATCGTCGGATTCACGTCCTCTGAAAGGCTTCATAGGTGCCGCCATCGCAAAGAGGTAATGGATTGTATCAATCGGTGATACTAAGGCGCAGAATTCGAATATTCACGAGATGGGAAGGAGAGATGAATTGAGCGATGATGAATCCTAGAGAGAGAGAGAGATGCGTCTTCAAATCGTACCTAGAGAGAAGACGAGAGAACCCTAGGTGGAGATTGAAAGATGAGGATAGAGAGATAAAGAGCGATCCAACCCAAACGGCGGCTCTTTAAAAGGATAAATAAATAAAATAAATATATATTATTTTCTTTTTGGATTCTGCTAAGTAGGACCGAAACGGTGCGTTTTAAGGTAGACATTGGCAAATTTGTAAATAACACGTAATTGTCTTTAGTAAGAATTATTGTTAATCTGTCACCAAGATTACAGTGAAAATAAGGATTTTTAATAGCATCTTTGCAGGTTCATAGACATTTAATAACCGATGTTAGTCTCTGAGATTGTTGCGTTTCTCGTTTCCTGGTCTTGGAAGCTTCACATGAACATTGGTTTAGATGAAGCATCAGGTAGAGGCAGATTCTTCAGCACCGTTTCTTTAACAACTGTTAAGCATTCTATGAGGATCCGGGCTAGGTGAGAGAGCTCAAGCTCGTATTGCTCGTAGATGAAGAAAGCAGTGAACGAGAATGACATCGCTGTTAAATAAGTCGTTCAGTGTTTATGGTCAGGAAGCGAGTAATTGATAAGGAAGATATGTAGAAAATAACAAAAGTTATGTATACCTGTGAAAAGAAAGGTTGCCAAGGAACGCGATACGATCAGTTTGATGAGATATAGTGATCCAGCAATCTGTTTTAAACGAGAGAATTGAGTTTTTGTCATGTTTGGTGAGCGTAAGAGAAGTGCGTAGTGTGTAAAAATTGTACCTTGAAGAACTTGATCCAGTCTCCTCCTCTGCTTAATGAATTTAAACTGTGAACTCCATGGTTCCATGCAACTACGATATCCGTGCAAAGATCTCTCACTGCAGACTCTGAGATCTCGAATCTCCACGGAGGTATTTTCTTGACTCGAATAAATCCAAAGCTGTCGCGAAAAATCAAAATTTGGCACATTAAATGACAATTGATTTCAAAAGAGAAACATGCATACATACATACATGAATGCATCATAGTTTGCTAAGACGATTCTAGTATCACATAACACGTTAACTATTTTATAGAGTGGTTAAGGGAAAGTCACTATTTGGAACGAGTACTTACATCTTTGACGGCACAAAAGCGAGTCCATAGAGAGCAACAGCAAGTATAAACAGAAGTTGGGCTGCAGACGAAGTAAATGTGCTTCCAGAAGAGAAGAACCAGTAATATAACAAGTTGAGGACAACAAAAGATAGAAATGTACTCTTCTCATTTCTCCACAGCAAGATGTCTGCAACTGCATAAACATACAATAAAAATGGTCAATTTAAAGAGATTAATACTTGCATAACCAGGATATGAATCGAGTTTAATCATGCATTAAATCATATGGTCTAGAAGCGAATGTAGATGGACTAATCAGATACATCAGCATGTTTTAGATTTCTAGAAGCAAGGAATTGAAGTTAAGAGTAGAGATATATTCTTTCCGGATTAAGCCTTATTTGCATGAAATATGCATAATATCCGTAGCTAAATAAGGAACATACTCAAAGCAATGTAGCGGGATACTTACCCAAGCACAGATCAATCTAACATTATAGTTGTCAATGGGGAGATGGTTCTAACCTTTTCCACAACCAAGTAGCTGATCTGCTTTAGACTGAATGGCCGTATCGTCAGATTTCTCAAGGTCGCGAGAGAACCACTGAACCGTTGATGCAATACCATCCTACGAATTCAACAAGAGCTATTGTGACCAAGGGTGCTATCAAGCAGCTGAATATGATGAAGCGAAATATTGTCTAAACTGAACTCACTTCAAGTGTCACGACAGGTGTGTAACCAAGATGCTTCTTAGCAGCATTGCAGTCAAAAGTTCTCGTTGAGGAAGCTAAGAGAGCAAACTGATGAGCTGTATCATAATAACTTCCAGTTCCCTCTCTTTCTTGTGTCCATTTAAGTAGTGACAAAACAGACGAAACCAGCCGAACAGGAAGTTTAGTGGATGGTCTGCAATCAAAGACAAGAAAAGTATCAAATTAGGTAAACCAGAAACTTGGCTTTAGGGATCTGATACTTTCCAAAATGATCAAATACCCACGGAAATAAGAGAATGAAAACATTTACGACCATGTACAAGATTGTAAATATAACACAGAGAAACACCATATAAATATCTGCTAGAAAAAAATATGATGATAAATACGGCCCTACTCGAGCCAGTCCCACTAAATAAGGTAGTTCATGAAATTTATCACCAAAAAAGATGATAAGGATGCAGATGCTTTATGGAGGAGAATTCAGGGTGGGTTCAGAATTCTGACAGGAAAAAGTATAGTGAAGGAATTCGAAACAGGCTTTCTTTTCTCGACAACTATTTAAATGTACATTTACCTTGGGTATCCCAAACCTTCAACGATGTGGCTTACAAAGTCCCAGAATTTGACAGGCTTGAGGTTAGTGATAAAGAATTCCTACAAATAATCAGCAAGAAAACTTCATCATACATAAAGGTTGTGCGTTTTCAGGAGTGATTTGGCAACTACGAGTGCATCATGATTATTACCTTTCCAGCCACAGATTCCATATGTGTATCTAATGCTTCCGCGGCACAAATATGTGCATGAGCAACGTTGTCAGAGTAAGTAAAATCAGACATATTTTCACCATTCCCGATTTTAAACTGAAATTTTGAAAAAGTAGACAGTCATTACCCCCGTAAAAAAAACGTAAGGTCTATGCCATCTAAAGGGAAAGCTAAAAGGCATCATAAAATCATATGGCGAAGTCTCTGTTATGTCACAAAGAGATTCTCATGATAACGTGATCAAGCAATACAAACATCAACACAATAACAGGATAAAATATAGTCAAACCTTCGCATATCCGGATTTAGCTAGATTCACAAGGAAAGGAACAAACTCCGTGTCACCAGGTCCAAACACAATACTAGAGCGAAGTGCACAAGTTAAGAGACCATCACGGTTGTTAGCAAACTTAATCAACGCTTCCGCTTGAGCTTTAAAGTCTGTCAACATGGATGGTAACTGCAACATAAACATATCAAAACATACATCATTCCTGAACAAACACCAAAAGAAAACCAAAAAAAAAAAAAAAAATCATCCTCAGGGATTTACCTTCAAAGGACGTCTCAAGGACTCATCACCATCACAAATAGCTTCAGAACCATCAAAAACAACATCAGCACTACTGTTGTATATAAGTTTCCTAACTCCAGACTCACAACAAGCTGAAATCACATTCCTCGTCCCTATTAGAGTCAAAGAACTCTATTAAACACTCAAATTCAGCAACAATAATGATATAAAAAACGAGTAAAAGTCTTTTATACCTTGAACCAAAACCTTGTAAAAATAAAAGTAATCACGAGAACGTAAATCATCATCTCCCATGTAGAACACAACATACGAACCTTCAGTAACTGCAAAATCAACAATAGCAAATGTTAACATATCAAAAAACCTAAATCTCATTCTCTTCCACGATCCAAAACGTTCAAGTAACGAAAACAGACCTTTAACGATCTGAGGCTTATCACGAACATCAACGCAGTGATACGAAGCGCGTCCAGAGGAGAGAGCGTCGACGAGGACCGAATCTGACTCGTCGAGATTGAGAGTCTGAGCGGAATCAGCGACTCGGACGGTCCAGTTTCCGAGTCGGAGCAATCTGGAGACGAGCGATCGGCCGACGAAGCCTCGGCCGTTGAGGACGACGCAGGTGTTGAGACGTGAATCGTGACGGACGGCGTCTTCCTCCATTGTTTATCGTAGTATCGGTTTCTCTCGACGAGTCAACTCGGAGGGGGAGGACGAGTCGAGGTTAGATCAGTGGGTGGCAAGTTGCAGAAGAAGAAAGAGAAGCTGAATCGTAATGGTTAAGGGTTTGTTTGGCGGGCAGATCATACGCTTTGCAACCTCTCCACTTGCGAAAACTTTGTTAAGCGTTTTCATTTATTATTAGGGTAATATATTTGACTATAATTAAATAAATATATATTTACACTGATTTTTTTTTTTTTTAAATCTTAACGTTATTGATTTCAAATCAGTGTAACACTACATGAAATAAAAGATGCATAAAACATGTTGTTAATATTTACACTGATTTATTCTGTTAATTTTGCATGTAATTTTATATAAATATTTTATCTAGTAATCGCATTTTTCGAAACTCAAACCTTATGATTTAGAAAATACTAAAAAAATTTAGTAAAAAAAAGGAAATATTAATAAAATACTTATATAAGATAATATTCTATTTGTTTTAAGTTATATAGTTTTGGTTTGGTTGATAAAGATTAAAAAATTTACTTTTGTTAATAAATTATTTTTAAAGACAAATTTTAAAAATATTCAACAAATTATTAAAAGATTATAAAATCTAATTAGTTAAACAATTTTCAGTAAAATTATAGTTAACCGCAAACGTAAAAATATTTTATATATTGAAACAATCTGAACTTTCTAAAACATCAACATCATATAATTTGAAAGCAGAGAGTATACGACTATTTGCTGATTACAAAGTATGTAAATTAAAATTTTAATATAGCCGCACGCTTGAGCTGTCACATGTATGGTTTGGTGAGCTATATCCATCAACCTACCAAACAAATGATTTCCACAGTTTCACATTTGGTAAGCGTTTGAAGAGGGATAGGGACTCTAAAAGCGTAGTGTATTGTAACATAAGCAAAAACCAAAAACACAAAAGATCATATATTACATTTTAAATTTCATATTTAGTAACTGAGAACAACTATATATTTAAGATGATTCTTTTTTTTTTGGTTTCGAAATATAACACATTGAAATGATTTACTAAGAAGCTCAAACACATGTAAATATTAATCTTTGCAGCTGATTGATGATGACTTCCATCTATACAAAAAGGTTAACCCAAGATTCTGTTAGAAACGATCTCTAGCTCTGTGTATACGACGCAATGCTTCAACTTCGTTTGCTGAGTCCGGAATGCTTAAAGATCTGCGGATTTCTTTGCTTGATGTTCTGAGGAACGGGTTACACGCTTTCTCCACTTTAACAGTTGTTGGAATCTACACACGACAAAACCGTAAATGAAATCCTTATGGAGGTATACAGAGAGAGGATGAAGAGAAGAGAGAAGATATATTTTACCGATGGGAGTCCCTGGCTACGAAGATGAGCGACTCTGGTGGCATATGACTGAAGAGTTTCATTCTTTGGTTCTATGGATAGTGCAAACTTGACATTGCCCTGTATCATGTAGTACATATACATATAGTTTGCTTCGAGTTGAATAATGTGAGATAAGAGTACAGTACTTATGTGTGGAAACTTACTGCTGTGTTTTCGCGACCGCAGTATATATTTGTATCATCTGGTAACGACACAATNGCATATGACTGAAGAGTTTCATTCTTTGGTTCTATGGATAGTGCAAACTTGACATTGCCCTGTATCATGTAGTACATATACATATAGTTTGCTTCGAGTTGAATAATGTGAGATAAGAGTACAGTACTTATGTGTGGAAACTTACTGCTGTGTTTTCGCGACCGCAGTATATATTTGTATCATCTGGTAACGACACAATCTTTTGGAATGATGAAAGCATCTGAGACAGACGAAAAGCAGATCGTATCGTTAAAAGAGAACAGTTTACTACCAGTCTACCAAGTGATATCTCCAAAAAGGTCCATAACATTTGTACTTTAGTTTTTTGCCACAGAAAATTAACCAATGCAGATAGTAAAAGGTTGACTATTGCTATTTATAAGATTCACCGGATAGGTTGAGGGCTTAATGTTACCTGCTCGGGAGTACCTTCTGAGAGGGTACCACAAGATAAGCTATGTATCAGGTCTCCAGTGAATATTGTCGCTGAGCCGGGAAAGTAGAAGCTAATATGTCCTGCTTGAGAAAAAAAAAGAGCAGTTAAGAGAGTAAAGCATGACACCAAGTATTCAAGAAGCTGCTAGTTTTATAAGGTGGGAAATATCTGAGTGTAGTAGACATATGTTCACAGCTTTAACTGTAGAGGTGGCTACAAACCTTGTGTGTGGCCAGGAGTGTCAATAACACGAACCTCATGGCCAGCAAACATCCACTTATCACTCTCTTTGAGAAGTATGTCAATTCCAGGAATCCGATCCTTATCCACAGCTGAGCCAATCACCTGTTGTAAAACAAGTCACATACAAACACTTTAGAATACATCACCGATGCAACAAGAAAAGAACAACTAAACAAATAGCCAGTGGACTAGAAAAGTAGAAGTCAACTTTAACTCTCTTTTTAAATTGTGAGAGCTTCTAAGGCCAGAAAGTCATTAAATTTATGGTTAGACTAACACTTTACAACATCTTAAAACCAATCCATTATATTGTAGAGCTCTTTTTTTCATAGCTAACAGAGGCAATGGATACTCCAAGAGAACAAGGGATGATAAAAGAGAGGGCTAACTTGTGCAAAAGATCAGAAAGAAAACAAAGAATTATACAACTTCAAACTGAAGATAGTATCCCATTACCTTTGCGCCATACCTTGCTTTCAGCTCAGCATTCCCACCAATATGATCATCATGATGATGAGTATTCAATATGTAAGTTAAGTTCCAGTTTTTCCTGCTCAATGCCTCTATAACAGGTGCAGCCTCAGAAGGATCAACGACTCCAACCGTGCCAGTATCCTCATCGTGCAAAATATAAGCATAGTTCTCCTTACTACACGGCACCTGAAACATCACCGACATCACTGACATAAGATACAGAAGGCAAACAGAGTGAAATGAAGTGATGTTAAGTCAAAGCATAAAGACTAACCAGTTCGATTTTTAAAGAAGAAGGCATGTTGGAGATGCTACAAAAGTGAGTAATCTTGAGTGTTTTTCTAGCTCCACGAAGTGTTTTGAGTGGCATGGAGAATAACCACATAACTCCGTATAATAAGCTTTTTCTCAGGCAAAGATGTCCCAAACCAGGCCACACACAAAGCTGACCTCCAATCTGTTTCACGAATCCAATCAAAATATATTTATAACAGCAACAAAAAAAAAGACCAAACACATTTGTCTGAATGGAGACAATAATTCAATCACAAGTTTCTCACCTAACAAGACAAAACATAAAATTACTCGATGACTAGTTTCAGCTTACACAGACAAATCTCGTACCAACAACCATCATAAAACCAGATCGGAATTACAATAAACAGTTAATAACGAAGGGTGAATCAAAGGAGGGAGAGAGAGAGAGAGATGAACCCTAGAAGAAGAGGAAGGAAGCGATGAGTTGCTGTTGTTGTTGTTGGTAGATGAAGAAGCTTTGGAGATTATTGGCATCCTCTACTTCTCTCTCTCTCTCGTTTTACTCAGAGAGATGATCGATTATAAACTTGTTCGAAGGGGTTACCTTTTAAGAGAAATTGCGAGGAGAAAGCAGGTAGAATTTCGCTTGAGGTGTGATGATGATGATGAGTCTTACGACTTGGACAGGGAAAGACGTCAGAAGCTAGGACACAGCTTTATTTATTTATTTATTTATTTTTGTATTCAACTTTCGTTTTCGCTTTTAAGTCTAGATTTATCTTAATTTAATAGCTCAACTACTAAACTAAATCCCCTTAACAATTAAATTGTTCGGTGCTATCACTTACTCTTAATTCATATAATTACTTATAAATATTCGACCCACGCGGAAATTACACGTTTTTGGAATTAGTTGTATTTTGAAAGGGTAATCAATTTTCACTTTGGCTTTAACGGTTGTTCCATTTAATTTGTTATTGTTTTTTTCTTTCTAGTTTGGATTCCATTGTGGAAGGTAGGAAAGAGAAAAACATTACCTTTTGGGCAGACGTTTTAAAAAAAAGATTGAAAAGATGGATTATGTTTGGTCACTATTTAATAGTTTGCTGGTTTGGTTGAATGGTTATTTATGTACATATTCATTTGGATGTTTGTATTGTACATGTCTTTTACTTTTACTGGTTCTGTGAAAGTTTAATTTCAGTTTCTTTTTTTATATCAAACATGTTTGTATTTTCTAATATTATCTTTTCAATCAAGTAGTTGAGTTTGCATTGTCTTTCCACACTCAAAAAGTAAACATGAGTTTAGACTAATCAGTCCTCAAACTACAAGTAAATCACCCCTGATGAAGATGTCATTAGCCAGCCCAATAAACATTAATTGGGCTAGAATACGAGCCAGCTTCCAGCACAAAAGTTTTAATTCCAAAAGTCCATTTGCAATAAGTAAGCATATCAAACGTTGTCTTCTCGACGGATGTTCATTTTTTCAACAGAACGACTAGCTCAATTTACAAATTTGGGTTCGGGTAATAATCTCTAAAGGTTGTGTAATTAATTGTAGAGGTACTGAACTGATACCATTTTTTTTTAGTTCGGGTAATAATCTCTAAAAGTTGTGTAATTAATCATGAAGGTACAGAACTAATATCCAACTAGTTCTTCTGAATCCAGAACAAAAATAAGATAAAAATCATCCAAAAACATACTCAATTACTCGGAAAGAGTTTGAACAATAGTTTAACTAAACAAAAACATATTCTGAGATGGATTGATCACAACAACGAGCTTCATCATCTTCAAAGGTCTTGTACGCTCAAACCTGAAAAAAATAATTACAATAATAGCAAACAGCTTAGGTGTGTCAAATGATTTGAAGTGTATAAGTAGAACAAAAGAAAAGCTGAGTTTTTTAAAGATTAAAAGCAAACCTGGAGGAAGAGACTGCTTAAGCTTGTCGGCTTTCTCTTGGTCAAAGACGCAGAGAGTGTAGAGGTACTTGGAGCATCTGACCTTGAACTTGACAATGTCTTTGCTTCTCTTAATCTTCACAGATCGTGCATCCTTCCTTCTCGCTGTCAAAAGGAAGTCCTTGATCTCGTGGATTTGCTTAGGCTGCACATCACATATCAATCAATCATCATCAACCTCTTTTCTTCAAAGATGAACATACGAGACAAAATAATATTTTAGCAGAACAAGTCCTCAGTAACCTACATGTTTGACTTAAGATTATAATCAAATTAACAAGCGATAGTTAAGCTAAAATGAAACGAGAAGCGACATTTTGATTAGCTACGTGAACAAGAATCATAAACATCAATAGCTAGACGCTTTCCACACAGATGAAACGAGATTGAAAGACAGAGAAAACGTACCATTGTCGGATCTGTTGTTTTTTCAGCTTTGTCGCCTTTCACACGGAGATAGCAAGAACAGAACCGAAGATAAAACACACTGTCTGCGAGATATAGAGACTAAACCCTAGCCCCTTACATTCAAATACCAGATTTACCCTTTAGCCCATCTATAAAAAAATCTTCATATTGGGCTCTTCAGCCCATAAAAATATTTCACGTTACAATTGTACAAAGTTTACAGTGTTTCTTACATTTAGGTCCTTTAATTTTTGTTTTTACTATTTTCTTACCCAAAATTACACTTGTACTAACGAAAATGACCACAAGACATCTACTCTATTAAAATAGAGTCATTCTTTTTATCTACTGATACAAGTTGTCATTTAAATTTGGACCCTTTCTAGAATGTTACAAATAATATAAGTCATATAATTGATTGAACCGTATTACTTAAATTAAACCAACACAATTAATGTAAAGAGACGACCTTAATGTAAACTACCTTCAAAATACGGCAGGTATCTATGTGTATACCGAAAACACATATTTTCTCCTACAAATATGGAATGTTCTAAAAGAATATATATCATCAAAATATGAAATATGGAAATCTACTAATTATACTTAAATTAAACCAATGGTTATTTATGAAATATAGTTTTGGGCTTACTTTTATTTTTTCAACAAGTTATATAGTTTGGTTTTTGGGCTTAGTATTAAGAAAAAAACTCAAAAAACATTGAATAAAATTTTCACCATAAAAGATAAAAAATCAATTATTATTTTCAGACCAAAAAGATATTTAATATTTTTAACAAAACAAAATTATCTATTATTAATCATTTATGTAAATCATGTACTTTAAAACATGTTAATATTTTTTTTTTATTTTAAATAAAAATCACTTCGTTTTGATAAATTTCAATGATAACTTTTAAATAATTTATTATTTTATTTTTCTTAAATAATTTACTGATTAAAAAAAATGTAAAGCAAAACCAAAAACCAAATCTAAAAACTAAAATCCAAAACCAAAAGCTGAAAACACATGTTCTATTTTTTTGTTTTGTTTATTTACAAAATAAACTATTTCAAATTTTTTAAAAAAAAATTGTTATCATATTTTCAGTTTTAAATTAGATGTTCGATTATTTGAGATTTGTTTGTTGGTAATATTAGTTCAATAACTCAGCGGGTTTAAAAATTAAAAACCCATACCAAAAACTGAAAATGAAAAGTAGAAACTTAAAAACTAAAAACAAAAAACCAAAATCTAAATATAAAAACTGAAACTAAAAACTAATAAAAAACAATCCTCACCACAAATTTTGGTGAACTGATTTTATATCAAAGTTTTCTTTAAATTAAGACAAAACGAAATTATATAAATTTTTGATCATAATAAATTTTCGCGCTTTCAAGCGCGGGTCAAAATCTAGTTACATTTGTTGAAAGAAAGAAAAAAAGAATCAAACTACAGGTGAGTGAGGTCTAATGTTTCCAGGCCATGGAGTGTCCATCTTCACTGTAAGGTTCAAGAAATCCAATGAACTGCAAAAAAAAAAAGAAACAGTAAACCAATCATTGATCAATACATAAGAGATAAATTTTCTGACAAAATCATTCTGAGTTTCATAAAAAGCTAATAATAATACTTTGGTTCCATCTCGACACCAACGTGCTCCATATCCTTGAACTACTCTTATCTCGAATACTTCCCCGTGTGGTGGAACTATATGTATGTTCATCCAGCAACATTGGCCAATGAAGCTATTGATAATGTCCATCGCAAGCCTATTTTTATCTGAGTCTGAGGAAAGAAATGAAGAGCAAGATTCAAAATATGGAAAACTATCACTGAGTGTCTGATATGTTTGCTACTTACTTACCGGACCCAGAAAGCACACCCCAAAACCTATCGCTACTTCGATCAACATGCTTGGATAATGCTCTAGCTCCATGGCTTAATCTACAACCTTTTATCTCAACAAAACGGATAAACAAAAAGATTCTTAACTATGTGTCACAAAACCTAACTACAATGTATTGATTAGCTTCAGTTATGAATGGAAGTATATCTTAGTATTTGTGGTACCTTTGGTTTATATGGAATCATAAAGGAAGAGAGTAGAAGTGATCTTGGAGGAGGCAGAGCATGAGAAATGGATCCAGTGGTGTGGGAAAGACCCAGAAGGCTCTGCACACCCGCGTAATTCAAGCCCTGTAGAATATAGTTTGGGAAGAAACATAAGAAAAAAGAGTCATATGAAGAACAGAAGTAGACATGGAAAAGCTGTAACGTACAGAGAGTATGTGAGACAAAGCTACAAAAGACTGAGAAACTGATTTACTAAGATGAACTGCCACAACACCATTGGTCTTCTCTTGATCAACATCACCCCACTTCTTAAACATTTGCATACCTAGGAATGTAAACACCGTGAAACATTAAGTTACACAGAAGGTAATGGCTAGGCATCTTGATAAAGAAAAAAACTTACCTTCTTCAAGTGAATTAGTGCCTGGAAAGACTTTCTCTGGACTCTCGGCTTTTAACAGCTCGTAAAAAGATGAGTATTTGTGCATTTCCTATATATATCAACATTTAAGAAGAGGATCTATCACAACATATCTATGACAAAAGAAATATTATCTCACCATAACTTCAAACAGGAGACATTTATTTATCATAACCAGAGAGCCTCTTTGTTGAAGTCTGCAGAATGCAAACAACACTTGTGAGTTGAGAACACAACATTCACAAAGGTTTAATCATGCTCAGTGACTTTTAAGTTCATATACCTATCAAACTCAGCTTCAAAACACCTTGCCTCAACTGTTTTGACACCATCTAATGCATCCATTCAAATTAAGCAACACAAAATCTGATCAAGAACTCTAGCGAGACTGGATGTTGACATTGAGAAGCGGTCAAAACACACGTAACATTTTCAGACAAGATTGTACCTTTCATGAGGGAGAGTAAGGACTCTTGAACTTGAAACTCACAAGCTATATACTCCAAGGCCTGTTAAAAACATTGCAAAGGGAACAGTCAAAAGCAACCAAAAACTCTAATAAGCACTAATGACTCTTGATCATCCAATCACAATCAAATTCACAAGATTCCTAAGCAAGAGAAATGACTATGAGACCTCACGTTGACTAACTCAGAACCCTTTTGGATGATCATCTTGCTCCACTCATCCTCTTTCTCCTTCAACCAAATAACCTCTTTCCCCAACGAGATCTTCTCAAAAGCTCCACAGAAACAACCAAAAGTAATTGAATTCAACAAGCTTAAAGCTATACGCTTGTACAAAGGATACTCAGGAACACCTCTAAGTGCTTCCACAATCTCTGCATCTAAAAAAACATAGACCGATTCAATAAAATCACGAACAGGACACAAAAGGGTTTTGAAAGGGTGGTTCGATTCAATCACCGGCGTGAAGAAGCGAGTCGCCGGAGAGAAGACCGGAGCAGAAATCTCCGGTAAGCTCTAGATCGAGTTCAGAACGGTGAGTAAGTGTGAACTTCACCATTTCCTCAATACAATCTCTTAGTCTATCCATCTTCACTCAATCGTAACAAAGTTCAATCCTTTATGATTCTCAGAACAAAAAGTTTGCTTCTTTTTTTTTTATATATATGAGCTTGAAAAAGTCAAACTTTTTATTTGACTTTTTGACATTTAACACCTAGAAAAAGCTTTCTTTCAATCAAAAGTTCTTGATTGATATTACATCAACTAGTTACAAAGATCTTAACTTGTGCTCTACGCTAGGGCTTCTATTGATAGAAAAAAAAAACACACAAAAGAGAGTCTCGTTCATGGTTGCTTTGGTGAAGTTGAGGAAAGAAAGATTGAACCAAGTAGCTGATCATCATCATGATCAGTGCTCAGATTCTCTAGCCATGGTTGCTGCTTTGGTGAAGTTGAGAGAGGAAGCATTGAATCAAGTAGCTCATCATGATCAACGCTCAGTTTCTCTGGCCATGGCATACGCTTCATCGCCTCTGGCGCATTCTCCTGCAAACTATAGTTTCAAAACCAAATTAAAAAGTTATGATATGCACATGAAGAAGAACAACAACATAGACACATTACATACTTTTTGAGAAGGTTGTTGATGTTTTCGCGGGTTTTGTGGAAGAGTGTTATGTTCTCTGTTAACTGTAAAAAGGATATAAACATGTAAGATAACTTTTCATTTCAGTCTAAGTTAAAGGATCTATGTTTTTACTTTTACCCTTGAGGAGGATGTGAGGTTCGAATAGATCTGATTGAGGAATAGCTCATTCTGTTTAAGAAGCTCCATGATGATCCCTGCATACCAGTAAACGTATATCTTTATTGATATTTATATACATATCTGTTTATTTTTATAGGATAAGATCTCATTGTCTGAGATCTTGAAACATCCTTAAGAGAGTCGTTGGATCAAAGAGATATGGCTACTTACTATCTTCTTCCCTAAGATGTGGAGCTGAGTTTGAATCCACCGCCATGTCTATAATCTCCTAAAGATATCAAACATGATTACATCAACGAGATGCACAGTTAAGTTCAGAACAGAGAGAGAGAGGTTATATGTTTAAGAACCTTGTTGTCAACACTGGCTCTTCCGAACCCATTATGATCTTCTTTTCTTCTCTTGTTACTATCCTTCTTCTGCAAACAATAACAAATAAACTGGTTTAGTAACCTAACTTGAGGAACAAGGAAAAGGAAAGGTTTATGAATTTTTTTTTTTTTTACATGTATCCATCTGCAACGCATAGCAACGTCTCTAACGGTCTTGTGCTGAAGCTCTGACGCAATTTTCGCGTAACGTGTAAGACTCGGTTCCGTTGCCGCATACCTTCGTTAATATAAAAGAAACAATCATCACAACAAGAAAATCAAGAAACTATTGAATCTCCTTATGGTTAAAGAAACTTATACTAACCTAACAAGACCTTCTTCGAGAATGGCTTGTTCTTCAGAGCTCCAGTTCATGGCGATACCTGAGAGTTGTTTCGTATCTGAGCTTTCCGGCGACGTCGTGGAGTTGCTGAAGGGGGTGTTTTGGTGATTCATATCACCGTTTGACCATGAATGGTTTGCCATCAATGAAGAAAACAAATAAAACCCTAGCTCCGGATAATAAGCAATTCTTGATGTTATAGTATTAAGCTTGAGGAATGAATAATTATTAACAACTTTATATGTAACCTGGAGATAAAATTAAATAATAAATGTAAAGCGAAAATTTACGCTTACGTTTTATTTTATTTTTCTTGTTAATTTGGTCTACGTTTTATTTTTAGTTAGTACAGGAGGAGTTGAGTTAAATTATGGAGTACTCTCTTAGTAGCTGTATGTGTTTTGTAAAGTGGTTAATTTTCCATGATTGGAAAGACAACTATAAATGTCTGCTTAATAACAAATTTTTTAAAAGCCTTATTTAAAGGTTATAAAATCATCGTGCACTATTATCGTAGTCCATAAACTTAATTAGTATATTCCCATGGATGTTTGTGTTCATATAAGAGTTTACAGTGAAGGGACAAGAAATATAATATTTGTATACTTATTTTATTTTTTCGATTGCATGCATATGTTCTGATGTAAACAATTACTCAATATATAGATTGACAAAAAAAAACCAATTACTCAATAGATGGAGAGTGATGATCTATAAATATGTTGTTTTACCCCCCCCCCCCCAAAAAAAAAAACGATTGCATGCATATTTGCCGTGATGGCAGCATACAAACAAAATCAAAGATATATAACATTTGTATGTGTAATAATCTTGAAGTTCTAGATTGTGAGTTGTTGTGAATATGTGCATTGTCCGTAAGAATGCATTTGATGAAGTACAAAATATTTAAAATGCCAACCATTCATGTGTCAGCGTACTTAGTTATTACTCAGGAGGTTCCAGCTGTTTTTTAATTAGGAGTAGTAATTTTTTGTATTTTCTTATTTCTTTTACATATAAATAAGAGATTCTTTATCTAACTCATTTTTCATATAAGTATCAATTTAATAATTACTTTATTTTATTTTATCAATTTTTTTAATAATTATAAACATAGGAGAAATGGGATCTCATAGTTTTTTTTTTTTTTTTTTTGAAAGAATGCGATCTCATAGCTCTGCATGTAAAATCAAACAACGCGCAGAATCCGAGTCAAGATCACAGTATAGCACGTTGCTTCACTATCTGATTATCATAACGTAAATTATTTACATATATACACACACTTAATTAATACATTGAGGTATTACGCGCGTATAATAGTGGTTATCAAGAAATTCATAATTTAAATTGAATACTCCAATCGTGTTGAAGTCTTACTAGCTAATTTCTCTCTTGACCTTTGCTTCCTACATGTCACATTACATCTCACACACAAGCCATCAACTCTTAAAATCTATAGAAGTGAAGTTTAAACCCAACTTATCTGATATTTTCCCTTTATTATTTATCCTGATAAGTTTGCATACCATTTGTTATTTCCACAAAATATTATAGGAGGAAAGATTATAATTTCTATATATCACATCACCATCTTTATTGAAAAACCATTTATAATATTCGTAGATTTATTTTTTAATGCAGATTATTTCTCAAATAGTATTCAAAACGTAGACACAACAATACTTAAACAAACTCAACAAAGATCCGATTATTATATAGGCCAGAGAGATGGCTTATATAAGCAAACCGTGGACGTACCATCACTGTCCATCTCATGGGTTATAGCCATGGCTTACTTATGATCCAGAGGATTGAGACATGGCTACATTTCTAGGTCAGTAGTTGCCTTTTTCTTCAAGCCAATATCTTACAAACCGGTTTACCAGGATTTTAGGATTGTCCATCCCGTTTCGGGTTTGGATTCTAACCTCTCCGGTTTATAATTATCAAATTTACTAACCAAATTATTACTCAGTTAGGTTGAATATAGTTTATTAGCTTTGGTTTCAGTTCAGTATAACTTTCGGATTAAATCCATTGAAGGTTTGTTTGTAACTTTGTATATAAAAAAACGGACACCAAGTCAGGTAAATGTCTTCTTCATTTTGATATTTTGGATTGGTTCTTTCAAGGTAGTTATGGTTTAAAATGAATTGAATCTCCTAAACCAGGACCCCCTTCAATAGGGAAGAGAGAACACACTGCAGCTACAATTTAAACAAGGACGGTAAACCAAGCCCGAGTATGAACAAGTCTTCCCTCTCTGAAATGGCAAAACAATGTTCACCGAGGAAAGACCAGACTGATCCGCTCGTGTACCTAAACCTGGACCCACGCTCAATCTACTCACTGATTTCTATCAAACAAATCTGTTCTTGAAGTAGATCAACAACTGCTTTACAATGATGACACTAATGTGTTATCTAAAGAAGGTGAGATAAGAAGAGTCTGCAGGCGTATAAGCCAAACACAAAGAGCACAATCTCTCTCACCGATTGCAAAAAGAATATAAACAGGAAACAACAAGGACAAAAGATTGAAAACTTTATGTTTCAGATATAGATTAATGTTGCCGTTTATTACATTGTGATCGCCGTGAAAAGGCTTCTCTATAGCTAACAGAGATTGATTCTCTTTTGTGTGTTTCTTTCTAAAATGTAAAATTATTTTTCTGATATTCACATAAGTATAAAAAGGGTTTGCAATCAAAATTGTTCCCGCACGAAAAAAGAAAATAAGATTTTATTTGTCTAACCTCTTTGGTTATGAGTCTCTAGACTCTCAGTTTGTGTAGTGCCAAGCTTCTCAGTCTCTTGCTTGTTCCTTCCTGGTAGCTTCAAGAAGAGGCCAAACAATTATAAGAATATGATTATGTTACACTATCAACAAAAGAGGCTCTAGCAGCTAGTAAGATCTTCACAGCTTCTGTTTAAGATTGTTTGCAAAACACTTGTTCTCCACATAAATTAGAAAATGATTACCTCAAAATAGTCAAAGCACAAATCTTCAAACAGAAACCTCTTCTTGGAAACTTGCTATCAAAGATGACCTACTTGTGTCTAAGCTTCTTCTTTTTGTTTTATCTTATTATACTGTTATAAGGGGAATCTGACTAGTCACCATTCTGAGCGGCAGGACTATGATGTAAACTTTTTGTTTGGTTCTGGTTATCACCATGGCTTTGAGTCTCTTCCAGCTTCTGGCTCTCCATGTGAGTTTGATGCTCGATTTGAACCTGGTTTTGATTCTGAGATTGAGTGTGGCTCTTGCTCTTGATTACCTGACTCTAACAAGTAACAAGTGTCCAACAATTAAACGGCGATAAAAATAATAATCCAGAACCATAAACTTTCTTCGTTGAGCATTTTCTTACCTTGTACATGTATTTCCTACGAAGTTTCATGGCTGTGCGTATGCATCTCCTTACTCGAAATACAAGAACCTTATCATTGAAAATCTGTAACATCATCTTCTTAGTCAGTATATATAAGATAGATGCATCTAATCAATTGAGCATGTACAAAACTTTCTACCTGGATCATGTCATCAATAGAGCGAGTTTCCTTAATGATCTTATGTCGATTCATGATTAAAATCGCAGCCACACAAAAGACAGGAAGAGCATCATCCCCTCTCTTGATTGATGAAACTACACAAGGGACATGTGTTGTTCTATCGCTCCTTGACCAAAGACTTCTTGTCAAACCACAGAAGTGATATGCAGATAATGATGACGATGATGACTTCATCCCACTCTCCTCATAGAGCGGACCAGTAGTCTTTGGCAATGGACCACTCTTCGGCAGCAAACTGCTCATAGACAACAAACCGCTGCTCTTTGAAATTGGCCCGCTCTTTGAAATTGGACCACTCTTTGAAATTGCTGGTTCTCGCTTTATAGTATTACCGTTTCCATCATATATTGCTTCTTCATTCACCTCAGCTTCAGATTTTCTCGGAAGATGAATCACCAAAGGCTCCAAGCAATCATTCTCAAAAGCTTCAGTCACAGATTCATCATAGTCAGCAGCCCACATCATCTACATCAAAAGACAAATAGCATAGTTAGTACAAAGTAGTTGAAAGAAACAGAGACAGAGCAGAAGAACTACAAACCTCCCACATTCTGAGAGCTTCATTAAAAGACAATTCTCGTCTGAACAGAACTAAAAGCATACGGAAAGCAAAATGAAGACTTTCAGCACCAATGCGCGATAAGTGAGAAAAGATATCTTTATCTGTGAGTTGTAATATGTGCCACAGTGATTGCAACTGATCCATCACTCCAGTTGGTCCCTCCATTTGGAAATTCGCGCGCTGCACAGATAATACACATAGCAATTAGCCAAAGCATGTTTAGCAATTAGCAAAAGCATGTTTCAAATAACATATGGTATATTAAGTATAAGTATTACCGTTCTTCTTATGAGCATTTCAAAACACCAAAAGGCATCAGCATTATCTTCAAAAAGGACCACGAAAGGAGAGACTAAATCACTCATTCCTAGCAATAGATTTGCAAGCATAGGGTTAGTATCACAAACCATTATAACTACTTATGTTTCACTTTAACATACCGAACAAATCAAAATTTAAGAGAGAAGGAACCTTGGCAATAACCAGTTGCAGGATCAACCCAAGCATAAACCGCAAGGATATCAGACATTCTTCCTAGATTTCCTGGATCCTCGTAGAACTCAAGGTGGCTGTCCGTCCTTACCACATCAACAACTGAGAAAACGAGAGAGTTAACTATGGAAAGACGCAAGTTCTCGGAGAAAAGAAGACAATGAATCATTTCTACCTATTCGATGCAGTGTCCAAAGCCATTCAGACACTCGATCTTCTGTGACATTCCCAACATGAGAGGGAGTCTCCTTTATTGACGCTATTTCAGGGACATCTGATATTCTCAAGCCAGGATAAGACGATGGTCCAACAGAATCGGAATGCATCACTTCGATCTCTGAGGTGGGCTTATGCTGTTCTCTAACTAAATCAGCATTCTTATCAACTCGAAAATGGTGCATTCCCTCATCCCCAGATCTTAGCTCACTGTCTGGCGTAGAAACCTCTATCTTATCTAAACTATTCCTCCCGAACAAATCTGTAACCGGCAGCGAGGGGAAGTCATAATAACCGGCAGGGGAAGCAAAGTCATATGGACTAGAAGCAGATACAAAAGAGGAAGATTTGTATACTACACTCTCTGGACTTTCTCTTCCGCTTGCTAACTCAATAGACTCACTAGAACTTCCTCTTCTGTGTACATGAGCTGTATCAGTACCATTATTACTCCAATCACTGTGATGATTTTCAGTATTATCATGATCATCTAGACAAGCTTCTTCTCTGTTTTCATCTGTAGTAGAAACCTTTACTGACTCATCTCTATAAGATTTCCGCATATCCATGACTTTAGACCCCACAACATAGGCAAGTGAACCAGTTCCCACACTTGAATGCATCGTCTGGCATTCCTTGAGCAATTCATTGTACCGTTTCCTACGAGCAACTCTGAGTTGGTTACGGTGTTCAGAGGTGCTGCTCAACTCATAACAACCAAGTAGAAACTCCCAAACTTCAGCTCTAATAGACGGATCGATACCCTAACAAGGAAAAAAAAACATCATACATTAGAGCATCATACCTCAAAAAAAATCTTCAGCAAAAAAGAGAAAAGTATACCCCCAAAATAATTAACTTGAGGGCCTTTTGGAAACCAGAAACTCTCCCTTCACTGTCAAAAGACGCCTGCCACTTCTCTGGCTTAAGCATTTTGCCGATCTGTGCATATTACAAATCAACTTTTTACTCATTTACATGCATTGTTATATAGAAGATGGAATAATAAGAAGAAGAATAAAAAAGGGTGGTAAAAGAGAAAGAGCTTACAGTGATAACAACCTGTATATGTGACTGTGAAAGACAAGGCTCGCTCAAATCTCGAACTAAAGATCCAACTTTCTGTAAACTCACTACACCCGCTTTTCCACAACTCCATTGTTTGCCTTCTCCACCAGAACACATCAGTCCTCACTTCCCAAACTCTTCTGCAACCAACATCAACACTTAAATACTTAAACAAGACCAAAATCTTCATAGACAGAAACAAAATCAATCAGGATCTTGTAGCATACATAGCCAGATCACAATCCACATTTATTCAATATAATTAAAAACAGATCTTTACTGTGATCAAATTCACAATTCCAAATATAGAGATTCGAAAAGTAACAAACTTTACGTTATATCTAATCAAAAAAAAAAAACATGATTCAGGTTTCAGACAGGAGATGAATCAAACCACCGACCAGATCACTTTGGTCGGATTGAATTAACAAGATTAAAAAAAAAAACAGAAAGTTTCCTTAAAAAGTTTACATACATTTAGCGCTCAGATTCATATACATGATGGATGCAAAGAGATAAGAACCTGAAGGGTCAATGGTCATGAAGGATGGTGATCTTCTCCGATCTCCATTTTTTCATGGGCTATGAAAAAGTTTGTTCCTTTTTTTTTTCCTTTCTCTCTCTCCTTTCTGATCAAAACTGTTTTTATTTTTCTCTCATTCTTTATTTTTTCCCTCGACTTTCTGAATTATTTTTTGGTTCTTTTATTTAGGCTAATAACGTTTTTTTATCCAATAGGAAAATTAATTAACACCAATCACCACAAGAAAATAATATCACTCAAAGTGTGAAACAAATTGTTATTGACTAATGTATACTAGCTCTTATAGGACTAATGGAGAAGTCGGTGCCATAATAATTCATATAATTAATTGAGATACATACTATTAATGTCAATGTTTAACAAGATCTGAGTGTTTTGCATTGTGATTAGATATTTTGATTAAAAATATATATGGTCATTAGATGGCACACGATTATATTATAATTAGATGTCACACAAAAAAATACAAAGTTTGAAATTCGGTTGAACTTTTCTTTTTAGTACCACTTTGAGAAAAATACAAATTGGGCCTCTTGGATTTTTGTTGGGTTTCCATGAGGTTTTGATTGGCCCTATATCGTTAAAAATTACTACTTTAGAGAAGACATGTGTTTATGGATTTTGTTTAGGAGACTTGATTACACTACACACACGAACACAAAAAGGGAACAATAGGACCTTATAGTAAGGGAGTTCTTAATTACGAGTTATAAATTATAATCACAGAGTTGTTAATCCTGAAGTATTAAACTGATACATGAAACTTTTAGATACTTATAAGGACTATTCTTCAATGGAAATAAATTTTTGTTATTTTGATTAATATGGTTAGATAAGAAACAAGTTCAACATTCCTTCTATGTAAACTGGTTAGATGTCGAATTTGTGTACCCTATATATAAATGATTAGTGCAGTTCTATAGTTAATATTCGTGTACCCTATACATTATTGTATCTATAATCATACGTCACATATACATGACAGAGAACTTTAGAATGATTAATTACAGAAAATGGGGAGACGTGCAAAGTCATAGCCCTAGTTGTATATTGTTGAAGATACCATGCTTGAAGAATCTTGAAGGAGAATCCGAATCTCTGCCGGACGGTCAAGATTCACCCATCATATCAAGCTTTTATCACTTTTATAATGTGGAGAATATGTTAGAGGAGAGGAAGTGGGTCATTCGTGACACCAGCAGAACAATAAAAATAGTCTCAATCACGGATACTAACGTGCCATAGTGGTCTAAGGCCAAACAAATTGTATAAAGTGGATCACATGCATGATGCATCCCTTGCTGATCTCCTACGCGTCGGTGTAATGTATTCCTGAATAGTTCTGAACGTTAACGTCGATGTGAGTATACGAGTACCATTTGATGATTGTATCATTGGCTTCTTACTTCTTACTATAGTTCTGTAAGGTCTGAAACTAATCAGTAATCATTGTATGATGATTATCTGCCTAACACAAGTCTATTATGCAAAAATAAAAATATATTATGCAAGCAGAGATTTTTTGTCTTTTCAATTGTATAGTATAAGCTTATTGCCACTCCAAGGCAATCTTCATGCATGTTTTCCGAAAGCTTATATCAGATCAGTACCGGTTCTGACATGAGGAAGACCACAAACAGTTTTCGAAAAATTGGTCATTTTTATAAGAATTTTTTAAAAAATTGTAATTAAAATGTTATAATATAACAATAACTATTTTTGAAAAATTGATTTTTGCAAGTATTTTTTAAGAGCTGGAAACTGATGCTTAGAGTGCTTTTCTTCGGGACCAACACTGTATCAGATATATCAATGCAGTGATATGGGTGTGTGTTTGATTGTTATATAATAAGATGTAGTGAACATCTTAACTTAGCAAGATCAATATCTATGTTGATAATATCTATGCAAAGAATAAAAAGTAAGAAATACAAAATAAGATGTCCTAGAGAAAATGGCCAAAACTGACTCATATTGAAAATTTGATGGTGATTGTTTACTTTGAAAACTATATAATTGTTTTTTGTCAAGCAATATGCTTATTTTTGTTATTATTTACATGTTTTATATATGTTGAATTATTAAAATATACCATACCATGCAATGCATGAAGCTCTCTGTAAAAGATACGCTGACATGAGTCGATACATGTCCAAGGATTTTCTAAATTAAAATATTTCGTACTTTGCATAAATAAATAAACAACAATTAAAAAATATCATCAGTCTCTGTTCCTTTTCTTGTCCTCGTCACACGTGTTGATGACTTTAACCAAAACGCATCGTTCTGTTGCTTACGCAACCACAAAAGCTCTGACAGAGCAGGGACAGAGAGACCGATTCGATTCCGTCTCTGCGTAAACCTCGCTCTCTCCTTCGTCGCAAAGTCACAAACTTAATGGAAGCGACAATGTTTTCAATTCTTCCCACGAGAGCTAAAGTGTAAGCCTTTTTCCCGAAATAATGGATACAAACAGTGCTTTCTACTTTTTAGCTTCTTTTTTTTCGTCACAATTCTACTTTTTAGCTTAAAGATCCGTTTTTTTAACTTTACTCTCTTTTTTTATTTTGTTTTGCTCTGTTTTCTCGCCGCAAGACCACTCGTGTAGTGTCGGTCTCTGTTTTCAATTGTCTACTTCTGTCTGAAACTCTGAACTTTACTCTCTTTACTATAACTAGTAATGTTGTGGAGTTTTGCGTTTACGATAAAAAGTTTTGGAATTTTGCAATTCGGTGAGAAAGGGCGTCTTGTTTGCTTCGAAATGTGTTCTGCTGATTTCGCATATTTTTTGGTCTTCTGTTTGCGGTGACTTTTGTCTCTTATATTTTGTTCTGCACTTATTGGAAAAACAATTCTAATATTGATCATGTGACGTCTTCTCTGTTGGTAGGGTACTTGTGGAGGTTTGATTCATTCAGCTTTTCTACGTGGTGGTCAAGCATCTCTTATACATGTATGATTCGATTCAAAGATTATGTCTTTGACTCAAAATGAATTGATCCTGTTTTTTCCATCTCTAGCAGTTTGATAGTTGCTGTTGAGGTGTTTTGGTTAGTCAATCATTTATCAACGGAATGGAACACGCTTTTGCTTCTAGGGAGAAAGGGTTTAGTTATCAAGATATTCCAACAGAGCAAATGGATGGTTTAAGTTTTGGTTCTGCTGATATGCTTAGCTCCTCTTCCACATCGGAGCTTATGAATTTTGAGTCTTTTTCTACATGGTTTAACAGCCCTTATGTGAATGATGTCTTGTTCTCGCAATATGGTCTATCGACTTCTCAACCTATGATCCCCTTTGGAGCTACCACTTCATCTTCTGCTACTTCTTCAGGTCTCACTCGTTCCTTCCCTGATTTTGAAAGCTCTTACTATGGTGAAGGAAGATCATCAGTACAGCAAATGAGCTCTCAGTTTCATCGCTCGTTAGATAGGGATGAGTTAAGTGGTAAACGACGCAGGTTTAGTAATCAGAAGAATGGGTTTCCTTGTACTATTCCCAGGTCTTTGAGCCATTCGTTAGATGAGAAGATGCTTAAGGCATTAAGCTTGTTTATAGAGTCCTCAGGTTCAGGAGAGGGCATTTTAGCTCAAATCTGGACTCCTATCAAGGCAGGAGACCAGTACATGCTCAGTACTTGTGATCAGGCCTATTTGCTTGACCCCAGGCTTTCTCAGTACCGTGAAGTGTCAAGGAAATTCACTTTTGCATCTGAAGCAAATCAATGTTCCTCTCTTGGTCTCCCTGGCCGAGTGTTCATCTCTGGAGTACGTGAGTGGACATCAAACGTGATGTATTACAAGAGGGATGAGTATCTGCGTATGAAGCATGCAATAGATAATGAAGTCCGTGGCTCCATTGCAATACCTATCCTTGAACCAACTGGGACATCTTGTTGTGCTGTCATGGAGATCGTCACATCCAAGGAAAAACACAATTTTGATATGGAGATGGACTCTGTTTGCCGTGCTCTTCAGACTGTAAACTTACAGACATCAGCGATCCCTCGGCCTCAGGTAACATCTAAGTCATACAAAAACATTGAGTTTATGTCTCAGTCTAATGGCATTTCTGCTTTGCAGTGCCTTTCAAGTAATCAAAGAGAAGCCTTAGCTGAAATAAAAGATGTTCTGCGAGCAGTATGCCATGCACACCAGCTGCCTTTAGCTCTAGCCTGGATTCCTTGTAGTTATGAATCAAATTCAGGTGAAAACTGTGTTCTCTGCGTAGAGGAGACAGCTTGTTATGTGAATGATGTGGAGATGGAAGGTTTTGTGAAGGCCTGTGTGGAGCATTGTCTATCTAAAAAGGAAGGAATTGTTGGCAAAGCTTTTGTATCAAACCAACCGTTCTTTTCTTCTGATGTGAAGGCATATGACATCAGTGAGTATCCTCTTGTTCATCATGCTCGTAAGTACGGTCTCAATGCTGCTGTTGCTATAAAACTGAGGAGCACTTACACCGGTGAAGATGATTACATACTTGAACTTTTCTTGCCTCTAAGTATGAAAGGAAGCTTGGAACAACAGCTTCTATTAGACAGTCTTTCGGGTACTATGCAGAGAATTTGTCGAACTCTGAGAACTGTTTCAGATGTGGGGGCAACTAAGAACGAAGGTAGTAAAGCTGGACTTGGGAGTGGAGAGATGTCTAACTTGCTGCAGACCACATGTTTAGGAAACTTTCAGACAATAGTATTAGATTCCAATATGTCCTCTGATAAAGATAACAGTAGTACAGGATCTCAAGCCTCTTTTGAGCAGGTGTGTTGATGTATGCAGTTTGGTTATTCTGTAGATATTGTGAACCGAGTTACTAGATTGAGCACTGATTTGTATTTTTTTTTTCTTCATTTTTCATAGGATATGAGCAAAGCTAGACCACCAGAGAAGAAGAGAAGCACCACAGAGAAAAATGTGAGCTTAAGCGTTCTCCAACAACATTTCTCTGGGAGTCTAAAGGATGCTGCAAAAAGCCTTGGCGGTGAGATTACCTCATTATCTCAGGCATGAATGCATTTCTATTTACCAGATAAGCTTTCTTAACACTTTACTTTAATCTAATCTTGCAGTTTGTCCCACTACATTAAAGCGGATATGCAGACAGCACGGGATCATGAGGTGGCCATCTCGTAAGATTAACAAAGTGAACAGGTCATTAAGGAAAATACAGACGGTGCTTGACTCGGTCCAGGGTGTAGAAGGAGGACTCAAGTTTGACTCGGCAACAGGCGAGTTCGTTGCAGTTGGCCCTTTTATCAGTCCATCTTCTAATGGTAACAATGCACATGTAAGAGGAAGTCAGGAGGATATGGCTGAAGCTAAATCAGTCGACAATGCAATTAAGTTAGAGGACGACATCATCAAGAACGGTAATAAGAATATCTCTATGCCATGAACCTTAGATAGAGATTCTAAAAACTTAATCCAATTTCTATTTGGTGCAGGGTCATTCATGGAGGTGAATGCTAGTGGTCAACAATGGGCTTGTTTGGATAAACAGTCTGACTTCAATGACAGTGAAGGAATAAAGAACAATGGCAAGTTAAGCTCTCCGATTACAGATGGCATGGAAACAACAATGCAATCCATGTCAGATTCATCAAATGGCTCAGGCGCAGTTATGATGGGAAGCTCATCTACTACTTCCATGGACGATAGGAACCAAATGAGAACTCATAAAAGTAGTAGCGGCCAAAGTGAGTCACCAACGCTCACTGTAAAGGCCACTTATAAAGAAGACACAATACGTTTCAAGTTTGAGTCATCAGTTGGGTGTTCACAGATATACAAAGAAGTTGGTAAACGCTTTAAACTGCAAGACGGTTCGTTTCAACTTAAGTACTTAGATGATGAAGAAGAATGGGTGTTGATGGTTACAGATTCTGATCTCCAAGAATGCTTGGAGATATTATATGGTATGGGAAAACACACAGTGAAGTTTCTTGTTAGAGATTTGCCTGTGCCTATAGGTAGTTCTGGTGGCAGCAACTGTTACCTAGGAACAGGTTTATAACATCTACTGCTCACTTATGCTTTCCCTTGTGAAAGAATCTTCATATATTAGTTTGCTTGTAAAGAAAGGCATGAAGGAGAAAGACAATTTTGATACTGTAGATATTTATTGTCTTATAAAAAAACAGATAATAAAAGTTGAATGTCAATGTCGGTTGTGGCCAAATATTTGAAATCAAAAGGTCAACAATTCAAACTATAATTATTTGAGTTTATCAAAACTTTTTGGTTGTTATCTTACTGGTTTAGTTTTGGTATGGTTCGGTTCTATACCACTATGCAAAACGGTTTAATCCTAAGGATGAATATAAATAGCAACAGCACCAAGTGTTCAACCACATATCCAAAACAAACCCCAAAGTGAGACACATAGCACTAAGTGGCAAATATGGCGATTAAACCTCTTTCAATCTTCGTTGTCTTCTTCATCTTCTTCTTAGTTATCTCTGGTATGATTCTTATTTTGTTACGCTTTGTATTCCGTTTACTATAGCAAAGTTAATTATGATTCTAATTTCTTTTGTTATGACAGACGTGCCAGAGATAGAAGCGCAGGATAGTAAGTGCTTGAGAGAATACGGTGGCGATGTTGGTTTCCGCTTCTGTGCGCCTCGGATATCTCCAACGTTTTGTTACACCAGATGCCGTGAAAACAAGGGTGCTAAAGGTGGAAGATGCCGTTGGGGACAAGGAACTAACGTTACGTGCTTGTGCGACTACTGCAACGATAAACCCTGATCACAGTTTCCAAATGATCGCTAAATACACTATTGCCGCAAACGCAGATGCTATGTTTGAATATTTTGGTTTGTGTAATAGATCTAGTGATGAATGTGAATGGTCCTAAAATAAATGTATGCTGATGTAATATGAAACAAAGAATAATGTAAAAGTACGACTTTCTATGTGTAATAAAAATAAGTTTGGTAATACTTTGACTACTTTGGTAATACTTTGGGATCCACATGTTCATATTACCGTCTAAAGTATTCTCAATCAACGTGCTTTACGAGTTTCTAACCAAATAAAATTAATATTTTGATTAAAATTTAATTCTCTAACTCAAGTTTATACAAGTAGAAATTTAAGTAAAATATATTAGGACATTTCTAGATGAGTTTAAAAGAAAAAAAATGAGAAACACTTTTCACTTTTTTTCTACACTTTCTTTTATTTGCAACTTTTTTATACTGGACAAAAAAATATGTTTACTATTGTAGTCTCTTATTCTTCTTCTGATAAAGTACATTCTTTTTATGTTTTTCTAACCCAGTTTGTCTGGAGTTACTCAGTCTCATTGTTTTAAAAAATGTCGTTCTTTGCATGTTAATTACAATGTTTTAAAACATATTATATTATTTAATTTTAAAAGTTATAAACTGTTCCATCAGTTCAACAAATTTTAAAAGTTTGTCTTCTCATATATAAAAAGATAAAACAAAATGACTGCGACTTTAATATTAAAGTTTACTTAATTTTATTATGCTAAATACATAGCACTTAAATTTACACATTTTGAAACACAAATTATACTCTCACTCTTCTGTTATATAAGATTATTTTTAAATTTTGATCTTCATACAAAATAATTAGTTTATTAAATGATTCAAAATGATTAATTAACAAATATAAATTAGATAAAAATAACTTAGAAAAAAAAACATTCTCCTCTCCCGCGCGTTTACGTGCGGAGTTGTTTCCTAGTTTTAGATTGTATTTTGGGTATTCTTTTGAAATGCATTTACTGGACCCGGCGGCAACGTCGAAGTACTCGGCCGTTCGGCCATCTTCGCTAACCTACAAACATGATTTATTTGTTTTTACTATTGTATTATATTCCTTATTATTCATATGTAAAAGTTTATATATATATATATATTATAAGTTACATGTTTTTAATATGTGTGTATTAAGTCAAAACACTATCAAACATTAGAAAAAGGTAGAATGAAGGAATAGCCGTCCAGTTGGTTTTGCAGCTAATCTAGCTAGCGGTCAAGGATGATAATTTGAATGTGATATATATAAGAAATATTTTCTGGTTAAAATGAAGGGACCCGAAAGTGAATTGTATAAATTAAGATTGTGACATGGCTGAGATAACAAGAAGTTTATTATTGTTTTGTGTTTGACAGCATAAGATTATCGAATCCAATCCCATATATATTAATTGAGAAACATTTGAAAAGATGTAACCTCAAGTTTGTATTAATTAAAAAGTAACCTTGCTTAGTTGTCAATCAATTAGCGTATCAATTAAACTGACGTGGCGGCTTTAGGTTCAATTGAAATTTGCTAGGGAAAAATAATTAGAGACGCATATAACGCATGTAACATAGTTTATATATTTATATATATCGCACACATGTAATAGAAGAAAAGGAAAATATACGATTTGATAACGATTTGCATATATTAACTATAATAACTTCATTCCTTTTAATTTATGGAAGTGTATATGTAAAATGGAAAATACTTAAATTCAAATAATCATAACGTAATTTATAAGATAAATAGGATTGACACGTGAACGTGAACTTCTCATAACTGGAAGATAAATAGGATTGACACGTGAACGTAAACTTCTCATAACCATAATTAATTTTTAAATTGTTAAATCATGATATAAAACTGAGTTAATTTTTAATTTGTTAACTTTTAATTTTTTTAATTTTTTAAATCATTATGGCTATGTTAAATCATGACAGTAATTAATTTTAAATTGTTTATTTGTATTCGAAAAACTTAAAATATTGCTTTTAAAAATAATTTTAAATTTAACATAATTTTTTAGAAAATTATTTTTTAAAAAAATAATTTTTAAAAAATATAATTTTCTAATATTATTAGACAAATAAATTATATTAAATTAGTTTAGAAACTTTATATATTTTAATTGCAAATATTTTACCAATTGCTTCTTTAAAAACATTAGGGAACTTGCTATACTCTACCAATCAAGCCCAGTGACACTCCATTTATTTTCCATCACTCGAACACTGAAAAGTAAAAAGATATATGAAATCATATCCATTAAATTCTAAGATTTGATTTACATTTCTAATTAAAATTGTTTTTGATCATACGTATAGATAATTATATAAAAATTCCAAAATTCTAAAATTTCAAATACATACAAAAACAATCATATGTAAATTTTAAATTTGTGAATATTAAAATTTTATATTTTAATTACATATATTCACCCTGCGCAGCGCAGGTCTTATCCTAGTTTTTATTATAGTATATTTGAACATGTATTTATGTCTATAATATATAATTAATGAAGAGAAAGTTACTATAATGGTCAGAACATTTTATTTATTACAAAAAAAAATGAATGCAAAAAAATCAGCCTCTGGCTAGGTCCGCCACTGCTAACTACAAACTTAAACAGAGAGAGAAAAGTGATGGTCATGGCAACGAGATCAGTTTCTTCCTTCTTTTTAATGCTCATTTTGTTTATCATTGGTAGATTAACTAACTCCGTATATATTTTGTTTAACATTCGAGATGCTAAATACGTCTCTTCGAGATGAGGTTCTATGGTGTCAATTTCAGAATGTTCTGACAAGAATCGATGGACCGACTTTGGGCTGGATCGATAAGGATGGGGTTTGATTACATGGATCGTGGGCTCTGATACCATGTTAACTTTGAGTTTATTATAGGTTTCCAACTTAAAACCAATTAGTGATAAGTGGAGTGGCCCATCTCTCTGATATATTGCTAGATATCCCTAGTAACAACCGATGTGTGACTTTAGTCCCTAATAAAATATTTTATATATGTATGTAATGAACAGAAGTGCCGGAGATAAAAGCGCAGGATAGCGAGTGGAATATGGTGGCGATGTGGGTTTCGGCTTCTGTGCGCCTCGCATATTTCCGACGATTTGTTATAGGAGATGCCGTGACGACAAGGGGGCGCAAGGCGGAAGATGCCGTTTGGGAGATGCTGGTGTTAAATGCTTGTGCGACTACTGCAACGACAGCCCTTTTGATCCGATTCCAAATGGTGCTATTTGATCAATCCTGCATGTGTGATGTGCAGTGAGTACCCTCTTGTTCACGTAATAATGTAACAATGTGTGATGTTCACGTAATAATGTAACAATGAATCATATGAATGTATGAAATATATAAAAAGCCTGAAATGTCTGAGGCTTACATGTTTCTTTATTGTGGTTGTAATACCTGGTTCGGTTCCTTGATTTAATTTGAGTTTGTTCAATTTCCGGTTCAATTCGGGTTTTTTAAAACAAAACGCGCATTAGTCAAACCATTTCTAATTCCGTTCCAAAAATAGTAACCCATATTCAGAAAGGCTCTTTGTTTTATTTACCTATTTGTGTGTTTTCTGTTCGTTTGTGTTTAACAGTAAACTGAATTGAAGCTATGATTGACATCTTATGAATATTCATGCATTTAGATATTTGAACACAGAGATACATCCAATGGATATTGAACCTCTGTTCTAAAATCACATATGCCTAGGCATAAAGGGATATCATTTCTTTACATTATTACAACAACATGACTATACTAGTACGATACTTTCTCTTCTGTGATCTCTTATTCTTATATTGCCAACATTGGCTGGTTCAGATGGATAGAGAGAAACCTTAACAATTGAGGTTTTCTCCAGGTTGAACGTCAAGCTTGGTACAATAGTCTTGAAAGTACCTAATCCTGTTAGCAGCTGTTTCACTAGGAGCTCCTCCTCCGGTACACTCCATACTATTCACAGCCTTGATCGTCGGGCCAAAGCCCGATTTAAAGCTCGAGCGAACTTTAGTAGTCCAGTACCAGAAAGAGGCTTTGAAGGCAAGAACCTGGTCTTGAGCCACTTTCTCTGGTGTAGTTAATAAGTCTCCCTCGTTCAGGTCTCTGCCACAAGGACCGTAGTTGTAGTTCCACGAGAGCTGGATCGCACCACGACCGTAGTAGCCCTTTCCTGGTACACATGGGAACTCTTGGTTTGCTTCACAATACTCTCCACGTGCGGCTTTCGCTGGTCCATCCACTTCCTCAATGTGGCACAAGACTGCAACAAGATATACAAGTGATTTTAATTTTGTTAATACTGAAACTGAATTTAGACAAATTAAAAAGAAAAAAAAATTAGTCAAATTAAACCAATAAAGTTCGTAATCCATATACTTTCATATGAAAATCGATTAGAAACCAAGTTCTACTGTTCTAATATAGTTATTTTTTTATTTCCAAACTAAACCATACATAAACTTGCATTTATAACATGAATTCTCAAAACTGAATAGGCAAAAATACACAAAATAACCAAATATCTATTGGTGCGTGACCAAAAAAAAAACAGATATCTATTGGTAGCTCTACAATATTGACGGATGGTATTTTTTTCTTTTTTTTTTAATGAAAACGAATAATTTTTTAAATCTTGATTATTGAATATACGTCGATCTTATATATATTCAATAATATTAATATATGAAAGTTGGAAACTCGAGAGAAATATATAAAAGGTTCTGATAATTCCCCAAAAAAAAAGTTATGAATTTAAATTACTGGAGAGAATTACTTACATCCTGTTTCCTGAGCAACGTGAGCAAAGAAGGCAGCGATTTCACGTTTGGAGATGGAAGAACCAAAGCTCGGATAGGCATTGGCTGCAGCCATAAAGGTTTCGTGGGTGTAGAATCCTTTACCTGGGCAGTTACCCTCTGTTGCTTGGCTTAGTATAGAGTTAAAGAACTCAGGTGTCACAGTTTCTTCAAGTGAAACAGTTGGATCACCGGGACCACTGTTTTTGCAAGGTCCCTCTCTGCAGCCCTCACCGCAGTACGCGTCGGTGGCTCCACAGTAACCATCCTTGCTGCAGCATGAGTCAGAGGCGCAGCCGCAGTTCTGAGAGGCGACCGGTTTGGAAACGGTTAGGATCAGGAAGAAAAGAGTTGTGAGTAAAATAGGAAACTGGTCGTTACGTGATGTGGTTTTAGCGTACTTCATCGTTGTTTACTTTTTTTCTCTGTGTGTGTGGCATAGAGATGTACATTAGCTTCGCATTTTATAGCGTTTTGTGGAAAGCAAATGTGTGTTATAATCTCGAAGTCAAGCGTCAACGTCAACGCCACGTAAACAATTAGTTAGCCTAGTCGTCACGTAACGAAGAGAAAATTCCAAACGGTCATTTGAATTTTCGTTGGATATGGACATTAATTCGTTAAATAATTTATTTAAAATCTTAGACCTGTTATAAACATTTTTCTAAAAAAAATACAGACATGTAAATAACAGAAAATATCACAATTGTTGGCAAAAAAAAAAAAAAAAGATAACAGAGGGCTTTGTCAAATTTTGTTGATTAACTTTTGGTTTGAGATGTGTATTATAATTAGCTTTTAGGGAAATTTATTGACTGGTTCTTGTAAGAAATAATAATTTCAAGACACCAAAAATATAAATGAATGAACGTTAAGATGGTGATCTTCTTTTGAATAATCAAAGTAGGTTCGTGAAATATTCCAACCATTAAAAGTCTTGAGAATATTTTGAATTACCCGTAAACGTGAATTTCTTGTGGAAGGTTATATTGTCTTATAGTCTTATGTGCCAGCTTAAGTCCAATCAATAAGTTAAGATATATAGCAGGAAATATTCCATTCATATTTTGCACATTGTTCTGTATCATACTCAGGTTAAGTGTCTGATTTAGCTCTGGGAATGCATTTTGGAAGTTTAAAATGATAATATGTGTATGTTCAAATCGTTTACATTAGTAATTTAGTTTTAATAAACATTGATAAGAATAGATGTCATGATACAATAAAGAAAACATTTGCTTCTACTAATTTATACTTTTGTAGTGGGGAAAAACAGAGAAATATATACGTTTATTGAAAATGAGATGTAGTTACACACAAACAACCCCAATATTAGTTACCTTAAGACACACGTCACACACCACACAATATTTTTTTTTGCTTAATCGTTACACACCACAAAATGTTGACACACGATTTAATATGACTTCTCTTTAAAATTCGATACATGACATGTCGACATCATTAACTCACACAACTCTGGAGAACCAAACATAAACGAGCCGTGTCTTCAACATCTGAGGTTGGTTCCAGGAGTGATCCCAAGTTTCATACAAAAATTCAAGTAATGGTTAACCCTGCTCTGCACCAAATCTGGACGCCCACCATCACACTCACCGCCGTTTATCTTTCTAGTAGTGGCTCCAAACCCTCTGCTCAAAACCGGACGCACTTTCAAGTTCCAGAACCACATGGAACACTTGAAAGCCACGCTTGGGTCACGAGCTACCATATCTGGATCCTTCAAAAGAGGAAGTCCAAGGAACCTTCCAGCTGCGCCATAGTTGTAGTTCCATGTGATTTGAATCGGACCACGACCGTAATAGCTCTTTCCCGGTTGACAAGGGTACCTTAAGTTCAGTGAGCAGTACCTTCTTTTAGGTCTTATTTCTTCTTTGAAACAAAAACCTTACATGACCAAAGAAACAAAATTATTATTTTAAATACAAACGTACAAAAACATTTCCAAGCTTATTCCATTTTTCATTTCAAATTTTATTTAAAGTAAAATCTACTCAAATTGTACTCTATTTCAACTAGAAAATAAAATGAAAATAAATTTGATTCAAATTAATGAATTAATTTACTTATTTTTATTCATCGCTCTCTTTTCCAAAATGTAATAAGACTAAAATAAAACTTAACTCTGTTTTGAAAATCTTTTATTTTGAATTAAAAATAGAGTAACACATCAGCGATGTTGATCTCAACCAAAAATGCGTACATTTATTTGCGTGACATTTTTTTCATTTTACATATACTTCTATAAAATATACTATATTTTTATACTATTTTTGTTCATCGCTCTATTTTAGTATTAAGATCAGAATAAAACTTAACTCTATTTTAAAAATCTTTTATTTTGAACCAAAAATAGAGTAACACATCAGCGATGTTCTAAACCAAAAGTGTGTTACACATATATTTGCGTGACATGTTTTTCGTTTTACATATACTTCTATTAAATAATTTTAATACTTTCGATGAAAATTTGAAGATGTGAATGGCGAAACACTTACTTGCAGTTTCATGAGAGAATTGGCCCAATATGGCGGCAATCTCACGTTTAGCAACTGTTCCTCTGTAGGCTGGAAACGATTGAACAGCCTCAATGAACGCCTCGCGAGTGTAGAACCCATTTCCTGGACAATTACCTCCGACTTTACTCATGATGTCGTTGAAGAGTGCTGGTGTGACAACACTCGCTATGGTACCACGAGGACCAGCATTTAGACCGCTGCGACGACGATGGCTAGGAGTCGGAGCATTAGGTATGAGTTTGCAAGGTCCATTCTGGCAACCTGAGCCGCAGTAGGCGTTTGTGATACCACAAAATCCCCACTTGCTGCAGCACATGTTGCCTTTACACCCCAGTGTACCGCAAAAGTGCGAAAATGCGGTTTCTGACATGATGGTTAGAGTGAAGAGGCAAATGATGAGAGCATTTTTCAGAGTCGCATTGTGTTTTGCCATTTTATTAATCTTTTTCTTCTGGTGTAGTGTTTTGGAGGGAGAGTTGTGTGAAGAGATGAGGAGGGTTTTTGTGGGCGTATTTATAGTGTAAAATTGGCAATATTGAATTATGTTCCAGGAATTTAAAATGTTTTATAGATGGTTATATGATCATTTGAGTATGGACTTGGTAATAACGGTTAGCTTCTATGATGTGTAATTAAAAACAAAGTAAATAGGAAGGATACTGAAAAAAACTAGCTAAGTTATGAGCAATAGTCTTACAAAAAAAAATAAATAAAAAGAATAAGAACTGATCTACGAATTGGAATAGGCGGAACCATGTTGTGGGGGATGATTCAGTCGTTGCCTCGTTGGGTGCATGTCATAAAATCTCTAGTAAGATAGGTTTAAACTTATATATTAATAATTTGGAATAGATATTAATTGGATATATTTTTGTTCCAACCTATGTGATAACCTTAATTAAAATTTCCAACCTATTTGATAACCTTAATTTGAAATTAAGGTACTGAGTCCGTGTAATATTATAAAGTTATCTGCGTGTCGGAGGCGAATATGCCATTACAATATAAGCAAATTCATAGGTTTTCAACTTTCAAGGACTTTGCGATGGGTTGAAAATCATTTAGTGTTAATGTTGCTCACGTAATGATAATGTTAGTTAACATACAAATTAATTTTATAATAGTATATCTATAATCTATGATTAATTGTGTTGACTAGTTTGTTAGTTAAAGGAGTTTACTTCGTGAGTCACGATAGAGAGTCTCGACAATAAAGACAGTTTACTGGATCCATCCTTAAGACCAGGGCAACTAAGAGCACTATTATCGCTGAAAGAAAAAAAAAAGTGCTTAACCTTCTTTTTCTTTTTTTTTTGATTAAAAAAACACAATAAAAGGATCAATCGCAGACCAGTATGTGTTGTGGAGCCCGCGGAACAGTCTAAATAACAACCATAATCGGATGTTTATAGAGGCACTTGAAGCACTTAGTTTTTGTTTTTTTTGGACCCCCTTCTTTCTAAATTTCCCTAAGCCCCCTTGGATGCAACTGTAAATATTCTGGCAATTTTTCAAAACCACCAGGATTCTTATGTTGGAGTGAGATAATGTGATTTTTAATATTATTGCAAACTATTTAAACTCTCATATCGCAGTGGCAAATCCAGCCAATGATGTTACACTAACTAATATTTTAATGTAAAGTACACTGCCGGTTTATTTTTAATGTTCATATATTATATATATATTGTGTAAATGTATAAGAGAATTCGCAATTTAAGAAAAGTTTTTTTTTTTCTAAATGTTTTACGGAAATTCTTGTAAAGATTCAAAGTGTGATTATAAGGAATTTGTGTGTGTGTGTGTGAATGGAAATGTCGTTATCAAACTAAAGTTCGTTTTAGAATCCAGTATAATTGATAAAGTGTGGTGTTCTATAGCCACCTCAACAAATACAAGCACATCATAGTCAATGTAGATTGTGCTAATCCTATATTTCATAAATGTACAGTTTTTTTTTTTGTTATAACCTCATATAATTATTCATTTGAAAGGTTATTTATTATTCATTAAAATAAAATAGCCTTTTCATATGCAAATATCATTAAGAAATCCACTAAGTTATAAAAATACTATCGGCATACAAATTTTTTAAAGATGTGAAATCATCTTCCATGATTTAAGAGAGTAAGAGTCTGACTACTAAATGGGTCGTTCGGCGAAGAGGACAAATAAGAAGTCATTGAAATATGCCGCTTGACGTTGGTTGTGAATAGCATGCGTATAAACCCTATCATCCATATGTAAGTCCACGCTCATTTTACGTGTAAGTGGACTGTCTTATCTATAACTATTATGTCATTTTGAGACATTTTCCCTAGTTCCTATGGAATTCTTAACAATCCGCATAGCAACGAAAACAAGTTAAGACACTTTGGAAAAACATTGTTATTTACGCGTTAAGTATGAAAATCTGTACATGCATGCAACTTATTCAAGAAACAGTTTTGTTAGAAACTTCACATAGAAAGTGAGATGGGATAGATCTATACACTACCCCAAGAAGATTTATTGCTGAGAACTTACATCGGTGTATATGTAATCCAGAGTAATGTATAGGATGCCTCTTCAGTCCACTAATTAAACATAAGTTGGAAATTTATGATACTTTTCTCATATATAAACAACACTCGGTAATGGTTTTCTCTACCGGTGCTCAACACCATTTGGTTCATGCACTTTGAAACAACTTAGGCCTAAGCCTAATTTTCTATTTGTTCGCACTTTTTATTCATCAGTTATGTTTAACTCTTATAGACATTTCTCTCAAATTTCAGCTTAAAACAGGCCACTGTAAGATTTTTGCAATAATTATAAATAAGGATGTAATTGTTGTAAATGCGTTTATTATGGATTTGGCTGATATGCTTTATTTTATGACAACCGATACAAACAACACATGATACATCCATTAGGTTACACCTCATAATCTTTTTATTCAACACCATTACTTATTAACTCACACGCGCAAAACCAACTTCATAGCATGAAGGGTGCCATATTGACCATTTGATATCCTTAACAACTAAGACTTGTTCCAGGAGTGATCCCAAACAGCCTACAGAACTCCAAGTAGCGATCAACTCTGCTTTGCACCGCTGCAGGACGCCTACCGTTGCACTCACCACCGTTGATCTTCCTTGTGGTGGCTCCAAAACCTTGGTCCAATACGGGACGAACATTTTGGTTCCAGAACCACATCGCACACTTAAAGGCCACCTCAGGATTACGAGCCACCATATCTGGATCAGTTAATAGAGGGAGTCCAAGGAACTTTCCGGCTGCACCGTAGTTGTAGTTCCATGTGATCTGGATAGGACCACGTCCGAAGTAGTCCTTTCCCGGTTGACAAGGGTAGACTGTGCTAGCTTGGCAGTACCTTCCTCTTGCTATTTCTTCTTTGTAACAAAAACCTTTACAGTTTTATTTAAAAATGAATTAGTTGTCCAAATAATTTGTGAAAAATAATGTCCATAAACAATTATAAAAAATATTATTTGTGTACCCATGAAATTTTGATAAATATTGAGTTTATCCCTGTGTATTAGACTATTAGGGCTAATATACGCAGGTATTATGATGATCGTATAAACATATAATTTTTTGCGGTATCAGTTATGGTAATAATTGTCTCAAAAATACTATTTAAAAAAACTGAATAATTCTTGTAAATTATGGAGTGAAGCGAGAAGGTCTTATGGTGAACATTTACTTCCAGATTCGTGTGAGAACTGAGCCAACATGGCGGCGATTTCACGTTTAGCAACGGTTCCTTGATACGCCGGGAACGATTGAGCGGCCGAGATGAAAGCCTGACGAGTGTAGAACCCTTTTGCTGGACAGCCGCTTCCTACTTTGCTCATGATACCATCAAAAACTGCTGGTGTAACAACATTTGCAATCGTATCACGAGGGTCACTGTTTAGACCTCCAGCACCGCCACTAGGAGTTGGTGGGATAGGTGTGGTTCGGGAGCTACAAGGTCCGCTTCTGCATCCTGTGCCACAGTAGGCGGCTGTGATGCCACAGTATCCATATCTACTGCAGCATAGGTTGCGGGCACATCCTGTTGTACCGCAGTTTTGCGAAAACAAGGTTTTTGTGAGGATGGTTAAGGTGAAGAGAAAGAGGATGAGAGCGTTTTGTAGAATCGCTATTTGGGTAGCCATTTTTTGGGGGAGTGAGTGGGAGATATAGTTGTGTGGTGAAATGAAGGCGGTGTGTGTACTTATAGTGTAAAACTTGTCTATTTAAATGATATTTTGTATCAAGATTAGGTATTTAACCGGGCTTCGTAGCCTGGTGGTAAAGGAACCTCGGCTGAGGTGCCCGCCACCCGACTTCGAACCCCGGCCACCACATAATTTACATGCGGAGTTGGTGTGGCGCTCCAGACCACTTAGCGTAACCAGGGGCCCTTAAGTGGACGCTTAAAAATCCTGTCATGGCATGGGCTTAGGCCCGGTGGGCTAGTCGATCACGNAAAAAAAAAAAAAAAAAAAAAAAAAAAAAAAAAAAAAAAAAAAAAAAAAAAAAAAAAAAAAAAAAAAAAAGATTAGGTATTTCTCGATTATCAATTTGCTTTTTCTTAGTCCAAGTCAATAGACCCTTAGTACAATTACATAATAAGTCAATTACCCACAAAATTTCATGTCGGTCATGAATTCGATCATTTTTTTTAGAATTCAATTATATTGAAATCTTTCTAAAGACGACTTGATATAGATAAACAAGTTTGTATCAGTACAAAAGTTTGAGGTTTCTCACTGAATCATTCAAGTTTTTTTGCTGGTTAGCATATAAAAATTGCAAGAAGATGAATATATATACTGAACAAAATTTTCTAGCTTTCTTACCAAAATTTTTTTTTTCTAGCTAATCAATGAATATAAGAAGTATAATGCTCTTAGTGCTTAAACTAGATAATAAAAAAAAAACTAAATATCCCAAAATAAAATTCTTATGATTTTAAAACAGGTAGAACCGTATGTTAAAAAATCAAAATCAAACCAAAAATATACTAAGACAACTCACAAAAATTGTTTATGATTACTTAGATGTTCTTGATAGATGTAATTATACATAGTTTTCTTAAGAGAATTGTTATTATATTGGTTTCAAAGAAGTAACCTATAGTTATTTTTTTAGGGGTTTTTTTTGTTGAGTTCCTATCATCTATTTTTAAGATGTCTAATGACATCCTATTATTTATTCTTCTGTGTATAGGTTCTTTCCTATGTTGTACTATCCGTACTACCAGTGTTGTAAAAAAAAGAAGTAACCAAACCGAACACAATCGATTAAGCAAGTCGTAAAGTCATGCATCAGTGTTATTGTGTTAAACCAACTTATCAATTAAACCGGTTCAGTCTACCCACCTCATGGTTTAGAAGATTAGAAACATCGAGAAACTGACTCAACTGAAACGACACCGTTAAGCTCCTCTTTCAAGATAGATAAAACGTTTCCTCCGTTCCCTCTCATACCCTCCGCTTCTCCTCCGTCGTTCCTTTCATTCTGGAACGCTTTGGGGAAAAATCAAATCCCTAACAAGGTACGTTATCGAAATTCTCATTGTCCTTAATGACAATGCTCGTCATGCCCCATGTCAATTTTGACTTGTAATCAGTTGTGTTCGTTGTTTTGATTCTTTTTGCAGTTAACATCTCAAAGTTGATGTATTTAGAGTAAAAAAAGATGAGCTTTACGCAAGCTAATTGCTCTCAACCATCTTACTACTCTCCTTCTACCATAACTCGATCGCATTGTGTCTCAAGTGTTCCTATTATTAGATCTTCATCACGGTTTAGTTACTGTCCACGTGGCTCATCTACTCTCAGAGCAACTGCTTCAGTCTCTACTGAGTTCTCGCCTCTGTTAGATATTCACATGCGTCGTGCAGCTACTGGGAGATGGAAACAGAGTTCTGCTGTGTGCTTGTTTGGTGGGAAGGATAAGTCCAATGGTGGTGACGAGGTCAGATGCCGTTTTCTTTGGTGTATGTTTCCTAGAACTTAGGGGACAGAAACCTTTGATGTTCTGTCTGAAATGTTTTCTCAGTTTGGTTCTTATGATGAATTTTGTTATTACTTATTAGGTATCACCGTGGAAAGCGATAGAGAAAGCAATGGGGAAGAAATCTGTTGAAGATATGTTGCGGGAGCAGATACAGAAGAAAGACTTTTATGATACTGACAGCGGCGGCAACATTCCTCCACGTGGAGGAGGAGGTAGTGGTAACGGTGGAGAGCGTTCTGAAGGGTCAGGAGAAGGAGAAGACGGTGGTTTTGCTGGGATTGCTGAGGAGACTTTGCAAGTGGTTTTAGCAACCTTAGGCTTCATATTCTTGGTAAGAAGACACAAACATTGAAACTTGGAATATAGTAGAGGCGTTGATCGAAATGTTCTGTTTTTTTTTTGGGCAGTACACTTACATTATCAATGGGGAGGAATTGTTGAAGCTTGCAAGAGACTACTTTAGGTATCTTATGAGGAAACCTAAGACTGTTCGATTGTCACGAGCCTTGGATGGTTGGAATGGATTCATGGAGAAGTTGTCGAAGCCCAGAGAGTATGATGAGTACTGGCTTGAGAAGGCGATTATCAACACGCCGACGTGGTATGATAGCCCTGACAAGTACAAGCAAGTTCTCAAGGCTTATGTCGACTCAAAGACTGATGAGCAGTTCGACTAAAGCCGTGGCAATTACGCCTTTGTTAGCCAACACTGAGATGTTAGGTTCAGTTTCATCTTTGAAAAATGAGTTCTTCAAGTTTAGTCTTGGTTTGGGGAAAATTATAACTGAAGGTAAAATCTTTATAAAAAGACAAATCAAAATCTCTGAAATCTTTTCAAAATTCAATTTTTCTAAAGGTAACACATTGCAAATCCAATGAGAGCACAATCAAAGTTTCTTGGGTTTAGTAGTAGTGGTTGAAGTGGCTTCTTTCTTCTCTGCCTCAGTGGATTTCTTACGGTCTTTTCTCTCCCTCTTCTTCAAAGCAGTCATGTGAGCCTTAAGAATGGTGGCATATGATGCTTGAAATCTCAGATGATCCTTAGCCCCAACCTTAAAAACAAGAAAGCATTGCAACTAGTTAGCTTCAACAGTTAAATCGAAAAAACTTTAAGATCATAGACCAGTATCACCGATATCTAACAGCTTATGAAACATGAATAGAAGCCTATGATGGTTTACTCATGGTTAGTTAAACATTCTGGAAACAAATAATGTTCGAGAATACTGTAATCTTGAGATCAACGAGTAGGACACATACCGAAGTAGAGATGGTTTTCTTAGCATCAGTAGCTCGAATAAGGCATCTATACTCTATAGATTCTCCAGCCGCGCTCAGTTTCCTCTTCTGCAGCTTAGACTTCAAAGATGCTGACACCAACAACAAGTAAATATAACATCATATAAAGATTAATCATCGAAAAGACAACTAAACTACTATAACAAAGGTGGGGTTAAGAAGGTCAAGTAAACAGTAGACAACCAAAACGTACATCTTTTCAAAGTAACCCAAACAGAACCTTTCTCTTTGCTTTTCTCAAACATACTCGTCAGTTCATTGAGGAACGGGTCTAACTGTAACAAATCCTATAAAAAAGAAATCCAAAAAGGTTTATCTTCCCATTGATGTCACAACAGTCTTAACATCAATAGCTTAAGACCACAACACACACACAAACTATTTTATTACCATTGCTAAAAACCTGAGACGTATACTCTTTGCAGATCCTCAAACACTGATCAAAGACTTCTTCTCTTTCTCTCTCTCGGATCGCTGAGAAAACAAAACATAACCACAATGCAAGTGAGAGATCTAATCGGAAACAATTTGTTTTCGGAACCATTCAATTATGATCGATTCGACGCTAAAAATAAGCGATAAAGTTTCCGATTGATTACAAACCCTAGATCATCAAAGATTGTGAACAATTCTACACGAAAAATCAACGGCACTAAACGCAGGAGATTAGTATAATTCAATTTGAAAATAAGATTGAGCTACCACGTTCCATTAGCTGAAAACCTAAGAGATGTAAGAAGAAACTGACCAGAGAGACTAGAATCTGGTGATCTGCTTCCGAAACCAACCTGTCGGAGAAAATTTATTCCGTGGTCGCTGTAAAATAAAAGACGAATTATATATACAACCTTTGTGTCAAAGGACTTATTCAAATATGGGCTTCATTTTCAAACTAATGGGCCTTTTAAGCCAATAAATTGCTAAACCCTGGCTAGCAAGGTTTAAACGTTTGAAAGATTTCTTGTAATCCCTTTTCTGTAGTTAAAAGCTTTAGTTCTGTTTTTAACATAACAATTTGAGTTCTGTTCTACTTTCTATGATAGGGGGTATTAGTGTATACGAATACGAAACATGCATATAGGCTTGATTAAGATCAGAAAACTTTGTTATGTGCCTTGCTGCTTTATCGGTCCGGGCTAGTGATCAGTGTTTTTTTAGCTCTATATATAAGTTCAAGTTATATTTAGATAAGACTATTAATACATTAGTGGTAATGACATAGGTAGGGTTTGTTAGGTCTTGATGAGCAAAATTAATTATTAAATCACACACACACGAGAAAAGGTGGCAGCATACGAAGACGAGTTGTAATGGGTAGGAATGTGGGAAGAAGACTTGTCTTGTCACTTAGCTCAAATATTTTAATATTCTTGCTTGCTTGAATTAATTAATTTATTTATCAAATTGTATATCATGCGTTTTTAACACTACGCTAATAAATAGTAAAACAAAAATTCGAGTTTTTAGTATATTTGTACGATATACTTGTTTCGAAAATCTTCCTCATTATATCAAGAACTCGGTTAGTTTTGTTTTAATAAATTTCTCTCTGAATTAACATGAAATCAGTTTAAGTACTATTACAAAACATAAGAAACGTTTTAAAAGGATTGATTTAACCTCGACATCTCCTAAAGGTTCAATGGTTGGTATGTCAAGTAATCTTGCAGTTGGTAATAATGCACTAATGAAGGGAAGCAAGAAAGTGAGAATCACGTACGAGATGGAAGTGCGTGTGACCATCACGAGACAAAAAAAAAAAGAATCAACCTCGTCTATGAGAATTTTCTTGAGATTCTGTTCTCATTTCGATACCAAACAAAAATCAAACTTCTATGTCGATAGTTTCAAAATGTCCAAAAGCTATGATTTGTATATGCACCAGATAAACAAATCAGAATCTCTCCACTTAACCTAATACTTTGTTTTCTAATATTTTTAATGCTGTATACATTTTCGGCGGGGACATAAACATATATACTTTAGAAATTGATAATTATGGCATAGTTCTTCTTTGAGACCTGCTTTAGCATTTTTTTGTCTATATGATATTAGTTAGTTCCATGACTGATTTTAGGATACAATTATGATGTTTTTATAAAGGAATCAGACAATTCATATCGACACATTTTTTTTTTTAAACTAATAATAAACTTATCTAAAACAGTTTAATTATTCAAACTGATAGTATTGAATCAACAAAAACTGTAATTTAAAGAAAACTCCGTTTTTAATCTTATTTTATTGAGGTTCAATTTTTATAAATAAAAATTAGTTTTATATTTTACAATATGATTATTCTAATTGGTAAACTTACTCACATCAGCTGTAAATAGTTTTGGTATCTGATATTTATATATAATTTGTCCCATTCTATCATGTTCTATTTCTACTTGATAAACACTAATACATATCACATTCCACCAACTTTCAAAACTGGTAAAAGACTAAACAGACATTGTAAAACGCCACTGAAATTTTAATTTTTACCACTAAATATTCTTGTTTTCTCTACCAATAGTTGTCACTTTTTTTTTTTTTGAAACACTCTATCAACCTTTTTTTTTATTTTGTTTGTGGCATAACACTATCAAAACAATCCAAGAGAATCTACTAGTGTAACACAGTCCACAAGTTTTTATGTTACCGTTTGGTATTTACAATGAGGTAAAGAAAACAAAAGTAGGCCAAGGTTGAGTGATAAGGTGACCAACTCTTTCTCTTTCTTCATGATGATGATTTTGAGCTGATACTAAAGAGAAAAAAAAAAACACAAAAGTTTGTAAATAGAAAAGAAAAAGTTTCAAAATTCCATCCCATACCAACTAGACAGACCCAGATCCAAAGTTGCAGACTTTTCAACATTTTCAAAGTAATATTTACCCACAAAAAGGATTAGAAGACTAATACTTTTCCTAAACACAACACCCATTACGTAAAAGAAAAGTATTTTTCTATGTTGTGACTTGAGTGGAAACAGAGGATAGACTCAGAGGAAAAGAAAAAAAAATTACGAGAGGACTGTTTTTCTTCTCTGGCTGCTGCTTCTCTCTCTCTCTCTCTCTCTCTCAATTTCTTTTGAAAACATTTAGAAGAAGAGAAAGCTTTACACATAACTCTCAGAAACTGAGGTAAGTTTTTTTTTTTGAACTGGACTGAGGTAAGTTAACTCTTATTTCTTGCCTTCTTTAATTTAATATTCATTTTCAGCTTTATGGTTTTCTTGGTTGCTTCAAAAGATCTGTCTTTTTCTGTTGTTGTTGATGTCTTTACTTTGTTTCTCCTTGATCTCTGTCCTCTTGTTGGGATGCGAAACACATGATTTTCGAGATGAGAGAGAGCTCACTCGTGAGTTTTTTTGTTTACTGAGAAAAAAACCTCTAAGCAAAATTCTCAATTTTGTAATAATAAATTTAAGAGCTTTTACACTTGAAAGCTGTTGTCTCGGTCTCTGTCTCTGTCTATCCAACAAGCAAAATTATTGTGATGATTTAGTCGGTTCACCTAATTAGAAGAGAAGATATAGTTGAGCTAAGATTTGTCATAAAAGTTAAAACTTCCTTTTCATGGAAGCTCAGCTAATTAAAACGTCTCTCTGTCTCTTTGGCCGTTTCTGTATCTGAGTTTAGTTCTTGGATCTTCTTTGAATCTCCTTCATTTCTCTCCTTAACTGATGTTCCATTTAATTCATGCAGGTAAAGAGCTCTGCCTCTGAAGCTGTAGCTCATCGTTGGTGATACAAAAGCAACCATGCTTACAAAAACTTAGCCAACAATCTCTGTAAGAAACGCTTTTGAATGAATGTTGCAGTTTTAGTCATGCATAGATCTTAGAAGTTAGAACAACCATAAGAGGTTGAGTCATGTTTTTGTTGTGACAGGTAAGGAAAGTAATGTTGGTGAAATGGGGAAGAAAGGAAGCTGGTTTTCTGCAATCAAAAGGGCTTTTACTCCACATTCCAAAGAGAAGCTAGGCGATGTAAGCTGGTTACTTTCAAACAAGTCTTTACTGTAATTTACTTTGGTGGTGATTGATGATTGAGATTACTTTGGCTCCTGGTGAGCAATTTTGGTTGCTAGGAAGCTGAGAGAAAGAATGTAAAAGAGAAGAAGAAGAAAGGTTTTGGGAAGCTAAGGCGTGGAGAGACTAATTCATTTCTTCCCATCTTCAGAGAGCCTAGTAGTATTGAGAAGATCTTTGGTGAGGCTGAGAGAGATCACAATCTTGTTTTCAGGCCTCCTACTCCTCCTGATAGATCAAATCCACCCTCTGCCTCTCCTCCTATAAGGCCTGCTTCTCCTCGGATTCCTTCTCCAAGACCAACTTCACCAAGAGTTGCTTCACCACGAGCCGCTTCACCAAAGCCTCTTCCTCTTCCTCTTCCTAGAGTAGACCTTCCAAGATTAGACTCTCCAAGGTCTCTTTCTCCAAAGCCACCTGATCGATCAAAGCCATCATCATCTGCTAGTGCTCCTCCTCCTCCTCTGAAGCCTTCAACTCGAGTTCCTTCTCCAAGACCATCTTCTCCAAGAGTTGTCTCCCTACAAGCCGTCCCTCTAAAGCCGCCTTCTCCAAGAGCAGACACATTAAGATTGGATAGTCCAAGACCACCTTCACCAAAGCCTCTTTCTACCAGAGTGGACCCACCAAGGTTGGATTCTCCAAGACCTCCTTCTCCAAGAGCAGAACCACCAAGACTGGATGCTCCAAGAGTTCCTTCACCAAATCCTCCTTCTCCAAGAGCAGAACCACCAAGAATTGATGCTCCAAGGCCAACTACGCCTAGGCCTCCTTCTCCAAGACCAGTTTCACCTAGGCCTGTGCAACGACGGGAATTTGTATCTAGACCAGAGCCTACTCTCTTGGTCCAACATGCTTCTGCAACAAAGATTCAAGCAGCTTTCAGAGGTTACATGGTACGTATCCACATTTTTTATTTATGTTTCAAGATTTGTACCATTACATTAGCCTCCATATCGAAGTTGTTTACTTGGATGATACAGGCAAGGAGGAGTTTCAGAGCTCTCAAAGGACTAGTCAGGCTTCAAGGAGTGGTGAGAGGACACAGCGTGAAGCGTCAGACAGTAAATGCAATGAAGTACATGCAGCAACTGGTCCGTGTTCAGTCCCAAATTCAGTCCCGCCGCATCAATATGTTGGAAAAGCAAGCGCAGGCTGAGAGAGATGAAGCTAAAGGGGCTGCATCTGAGGCTAGTAATGGTAACTGGGACGACAGTGTGCTGACAAAAGAAGAAAGAGATGCAAGATCTCAGAGGAAGACTGATGCTATCATCAAAAGAGAACGATCCATGGCCTATGCATATTCTCACAAGGTAACACTCAATCTTTTCTCATGTTGATGCATCTATATAGTTTTTGCCAACATCTCTCTCTCTCTCTCTCTCCGTCTTTGTATAGTTGTGGAAGAACAGTCCCAAGTCTGCTACAGGTGGGCTCCCTCTATGGTGGAACTGGATGGATCGTCAGCTTCCTCTAGCTAGTCCTGCGCGGAGCCATAGCCAACCACTAAGAGATTACAGGCTAACACCAACAAGACTGAGTCCAAGCCCTCTTTCTCAGTCAAGCAACCACCACCATTTCAGGAATGACAGCAACTTCGACGCTTCCACACCAAAATCGTCTAGGTCTACACTTCTCACTCCATCCAGACCCATCCGCACAGGAACATCAAGATACTCGAGAGGAAGAGATTCTCCTTTCAGAGACAATGACAGCCTCACAAGCTGCCCTCCATTCCCTAGCTACATGGCTCCAACGGTCTCTGCCAAGGCCAAAGTTAGACCAAGCAGCAATCCAAAGGAGAGAGTGATGGGTACACCATCGTCGGTCAACAGCGAGAAGAGGAGAATGTCTTATCCACCGACACAACAAGGTATGGATACGTTTAGATGGAACAAAGGATCATTGCTCATGAGTAACAGCAGCAGCCAGAGAGGTGGTCCTGGTTCACCTGGAGGTGTGGTTCTCGAGAAGCACAAGACACTTAAATCAGTAGGGAATTTGAGCATTGGTTCTACTGTGTCGATGCCAGATGGTAGAAAACCGTTTAACAGATATGTGTGATTTCTTTTGATTGAAACCTTTCTTTGTTTTATGTTACTTTTGCTTCGTTGGTGAGTGGTGTTGGTTTTGAGTGCTGTTAATGTGGATTATGAATTTACGGATGTAACATAATAAAAAGAAAACAATGACAAAGGCTTTGGTTTGAAGTAAACAGGGTTTGTTGATTAATCACTTCTGTTTGTCACATGATTCATGCAGGTTTTGAACACCACAGATTGGTTAGTTAAATTGATTTCAGAGTTTCTCACTGCACCTGTTGCTCTCTGTTCTAACTTATTTGCAGGTCTCAACTAGTTTATGTGTTTTCTATGTCTAAAGTCATTAATTGACTTTTTCATCTAACTTATCAAAGATATATACAGTACTAGTTATTAAATGGTTCTAGTCAGATTGACAAAAAAAAAAAAGGTTCTAGTCAATGTTTTATGCCGACTCTCTCCTTGATATAAACCATCCCTAGCACAACAGGCTAAATAAACTAGTACTTTCCTAAACCCATCATTGATCAAACAATGATCGTGTTGCACAAAATCTTCTCTCAGCTTGTTTTCATGCTTGTTATGTTTTGTTTTACGCACACCTCTCATGGACTGATTATGAAAGAATCAGCTGGTATCATGAATGGTTTCACGACGCTAACTAACACCAAGAAGAACTCTTATGGTCAAGCCTTCAACGACAAACCATTCCCTTTCAAGAGTTCTGCAAACGGTACACTGACTTCTTTCTCTTTCACCTTCTTCTTTGCTATCGTCCCTGAGCATTATAACCAAGGATCTCACGGTATGGCCTTTGTGATCTCTCCCACGAAAGGCATTCCCGGTGCATCTGCTGATCAGTACCTTGGTATCTTCAACGACAGAAACAACGGAGATAGCTCTAACCACATCATTGCTGTTGAGCTCGATATACATAAAGATGATGAGTTTGGTGACATTGATGATAACCATGTTGGTATCAACATAAATGGCATGAGGTCTATCGTATCTGCTCCTGCTGGTTATTATGATCAAAACGGTGAGTTCAGAAAACTTTCTCTGATCAGTGGAAAGCTACTTCGAATCACAATTTTGTATAGCCATGAAGAGAAACGACTCAATGTCACCTTATCACCACCAGATGAGACAAATCATCCCAAGAGGCCACTTCTTTCACTAAAATAAGACCTATCACCTTATCTTTTGGAGAATATGTATGTTGGCTTCACAGGCTCCACTGGATCACTTGGAGCAATACATTACATGCTGGTGTGGTATGCATATACCTTCATCATTGTTCCGCAGCTGGATTTTGAAATACCGACCTTTCCTCCATATCCCAAGGTAGAGTCTAAGGTAAAACTGATTGTTTTAGCAACTTCATTGACTTTGGCTCTCTTTGTTGCGTTTGCTGCATCAGCTGTAAGTCTTTTCTTGTATAAGAAGCATAAGAAGGTCTTGGAGGTTTTAGAGGAATGGGAAATAGAATGTGGGCCTCATAGGTTTGGTTACAGTGAACTATATAAAGCCACAAATGGTTTCAAGGAACTTTTAGGTGAAGGAGGGTTTGGTAAGGTCTTTAAAGACACACTTCCAGGTACTGATGCACGGATTGCAGTTAAACGGACTTCTCGTGGTTCAAGTCAAGGAGTGAGAGAGTTCTTGGCTGAGGTAACAACTATAGGTCGTCTTAGACACCCGAATCTAGTTAGGCTTCTTGGTTACTGCAGATACAAAGAGGAACTCTACTTGGTTTATGACTATATGCCCAACGGAAGCCTTGACAAGTACCTGTACGGGTCAGATCAAGAACAGCTCTCTTGGACTCAACGTTTCAAGATCATCAAAGACGTTGCTTCTGCACTCTCGTATCTCCATCATGACTGGTTACAAGTTGTGATTCATAGAGACATCAAGCCTGCAAATGTCTTACTAGACGATAAAATGAATGCAAGTCTTGGAGATTTCGGATTGGCTAGGCTACATGAACGTGGAGATGAAGCTAAGACCTCTAGAGTGGCTGGAACATTCGGCTACATGGCACCAGAGCTCGTGAGAACAGATGTTTACGCCTTTGGTGTGTTTATGCTTGAAGTTTCTTGCGGTAGACAAATGTTTGAGCCACGAGCAGAGTCAGAACAGGCCGTTCTTCTGGAGTGGGTGGTTACTTGTTGGAAAAAAGAGGACATTATAGAGGCGGTTTGTGAAAGAATCAAACAAGATCATGACAAGGGACAGCTAGAACTACTTCTCAAGCTAGGTGTGTTGTGTTCACACCAGGCTGAAGAGGTTAGGCCCAATATGTCTACGGTGGTTAAGATACTTGAAGGAGTTTCTGAGCTTCCTGATAATGTGCTTGATATTGTTAGAACTGAGAAGAAGGGAAAATGGTACGAGAAGTATAGCGAGGTGCTTGATTCGGTGACGAATGTAGAACCAACAATTTACTTGGACGCTACGGAACCGATAGCCTCCTTGGAGCGGACAAGGTTGCTTCTCTAGTTGGCAGTGTTGATAACAATCAATCACAAGCCAATAACATGAAGAGAAGACATTTGTTTGATTATAATACTAGATTGTGAGATAATTAAGGGAATGATGGGATCTTTCCATATTTGTTAATCATGGTTTACCTATGTAATAAGTTATTGCAAGAGCAGTAGAGTTTGTGGGTTTTGATTTTTTTTGTAATGATCTCTTGTTCTGGAGGTAATCTTGTTGTTTTCTTTGTGTGTTAACTTATTTTGTGGGAGTATAAATTTCACTATAAAAAGCTTATTGTGTATGTGACTCTGATATTTCCTACATAGTTTATGAGAAGTTCTATGATTTAAATACTATATTGTTAATTAATGAATTGGTTCTGCAAATTCTGTAGCTCTTTGTTTCTAATACCTGCAGACCTTGTGACTAGGTCATTTTTTTCGTGTGTCCCAAGTCATCAGCTGACTTCATCCTCGCTTTATCAAAGATGTATACAAATTAAGTTCTTACTTCAAATGGGTAGTGTATATAAATTACACATGACCTGAGAAGTATGTGTTTGTGTGTTTACTCTTATAAGGTGTACTATACTTGTGTGTTTCAATTTTCAGTTATGGAAGTCATAATATTTCTTTTGTGTGCAATCCAACTGTATAACTTAAATATTTCAGTTAACTAGTGGACTTGGTTTTAATAATCAATTTGTTATAGATTATTGGTAGCTCAATTATTGTTGTTTTAGCAAAGATTATTATATATATCTTAACTCTTAAGTTCTTAACTAATTTGTCATGTTTTGGGTTGTAAGCAATACATTATTTGCCATGTTTCCAGTGACCATTTGTTAGGTGTGAATATGATTTTTAAAAACTTAGTATTTAATTTGTTTACTCTATTGTCGTATGAAAATGCAATTTTGCTTTTTATAAAAGAGCTTTGAGAAAGAAACCTTGTCTGCATCTATTTTCGGTATGGGATTTTGTGGAAAACTTTTGAAAACAATGATCATACTTAGCTTATTAAGGCTTTAACAAAAGCTTAGGTTTCTTTCTCTTTACGCTTTAGTTGTTTTTTTCAACTTTGGGATCAAAGCATAAGAGATATCATTTCCTTTTATCTTTATGCAAACGTACACACTTGTGGACTTGAAGGAACAACACCAATTAGGACACTAAAACACATAACCTCCTATAATGTGTTTAAAGCTATAGTTCTGTCACGGTCTCAAAATGAAAAACGTTGTGCTAAATCAATCAGGAAATCAATGAGAAAACGTTGTGCTGAAAGAGGCAGAGCACAAAACCATAGTCTAAAAAGCATCGAATGATGCAAAAATGTAGAAACCAAAGGCAACAACGATTCTTCTCACAATGAATGATGAAATATTAGTTTGATTTTGCCAAGTGGAGACATCCACGTGGAGAGAAGCAAGACCACTTGTCTCTTTCGTGGATTCTCACGCCCGAGTTACATTTTAATACTTACAAAATGCATATGCATTGACGTTTTAGCCCTTGCTTGCTCATCAATTTTGTTAGTTCTAATTCACAAACTAATTAGACAAAGCGCCAACTAAATCACCATATCTACCTTAAGGACTCATAAGTCATTCATCTAATAAAAAAAACTCAAAATCTAATTATAAGTTTACCGACATGTGATACTGCCAAAAATAATAAAATAGACACACAAGGAGGATGTGATAGTGAGGGGAAAATGGCCAATTCATACACCAACATGGCACCCGCGGTCCCGATCAGTACATGAACTCCGGACCTGTGCAAAAACATACATCAACTCACTTTTTTTCTAAATTTCATACATCAACCGAATTTTTTTGGCTAATTCATACATTGACCGACTTGCCGTTAGTCAAATTATAACGGTGTCTTATGTGGACTTAACAGATGCTTATGTGGATTAGAGGATAATTACGTGGATATTACGGGGGAAATCAGTAGAGAGTTAACCCAAAACGACATCATTGTAGCCGCTAAAAAACGTCGACGTTTTGCTTTTTTTACAGAAACAAACAACTCACCTTTCTCTCTTGTTATTGTCGGGACTAAAGAAAAAGGAACAGAACAGAGAGAGAGAGAGAGAGGAAGAACGAGATAGAAGAATTGCGAAGATGTCTAGCTCCTCTAACCCCAATTCCTCGTATGAGACAGGTAAGTACAGTCAATTTTGACTCCAATCAAGTATTGGGTGTATATTTAGGTTGTTAATTGAGTGATAAATGAACAGCAATGAGCGGACATTGGAGTCGCCGTAGGGGTGAAAGGGAAAGGGGGTTCCCTCGTTTTTGTAGGAAGTGTGGAGAAGCTGCCGAGATTTTTACATCTAAAACCGTGAGAAACCCAGGAAGACTTTTCCATGGTTGTCCTAATGGTAGTGAAGAGGTAAGAAATTGGAATGTGTATTTTTTTGGTTTAACTATAGTGATGAATTTTTTTTTTCTGTAGGATAAGCACCATTTGTTTAAATGGACAGATGAATCTGCTGTTGAGGAAATTCATGATATTAAGAATTTTTTGAATGAAAAATTCGGCCATCTGGACCTTCAGTCTCAGAGATGTGAAGATGCCATAAGAAGCAATGACAAAAAGATTGAAGATTTGGGTGATGCTTTAGCTGAATTGGAGAAAGAGATGAAAGAGATGAAAGAATTGGTTCAAGGGTATGAGCGAGATGTGAAGAGCTTGAAGAAGATAGCAGTTTGTGGAGTTGGAATGATGTTTATGTACTACTATTTTGCTATGTAGTAATGTGGTCGATTGCAGGAAATGTTTTTATTTTCAGTTTCAGACATGCTATGTTTGTCGGTTTGTAGGTTTTTCAAGGGTTTATTGACTTGTATTAAGAGTCTGGATTATGTTATGAATTTGACCTTTATCATGAATTTGGTTTATGTTAAGAATTTGGCTTTGTTATAAGATAAGAAGTGGCCAAGAATGTGGCCAAGAACATAAGAATCACAAATGATTTTAAACACAAGATTTTCATAGCATAATAAGTTTTACATAAGAGATTGTGTATCTAGAGGGAGATAGATTATAGGTCAATCCGAGATTACATAATAAGGTTTACAATCCGAGAAACATAGAAAAAAAAAACCAACATGGTCATGACTAAGCCGACTTGAGCACACACCGCAAGCACACCTAAAATACCAAAAACCAATGTCGTATCTAGGCTGCCTCGTTCTTCATAATACATTACTTAAAGAAGCCGAGAATTATAACAAGAGAACCTGAAAAAACAGACAAAAGAGGCATTGATAAAAGTCCAGTGATGAGTGAAATCTAACTAAGAGAGCAAACCTGAAGTTAGTTGGACGTTTGGGTGGGCTGACTTGGTCCCGGAGCATCACCATGGTCAGTTGAAATTGTCTCCGCTTGTGAGGGCTGTTTCCTCTTCCTTTGATAAATCTTTCTCGGCCTGTTAGGGACTCCCTGTTGCGTACAAAATTGAGCATTATGCCCTTCGAAACCACATCGATAACACTGAATTACAGTGAGATGTCGTGAAGCTTTTTTTCCTTTTGTAGGTGATTCATAAATTGACTTCTTCCTCTTCGCTGGATTCTTCTTCCGACCCTTCTCTTTAGGTCTTGGCGGTGGTTCAATTTGAGAACCAGGAGCTTCTTTCCAGAACTTAATCCCTTCAACTGGAGTGATTGAATCACTGTATTGCTTCTTCCACAAAGTGGTCAAGTAACAATCTGCCACAAAATCCTCAGAATTAAGCTTTTTATCTTTAATAACCTTTAAAGCATGACGACACGGAATCCCGGTGAGGTCCCATCTTCTGCAGCTACATGTTCGCTTGTCCATATTGACAGTGTAGGAAATGTTGTTCTCTTGTACTTCTGAAACACCATTCGGACCAGGTGTCCTCTTCTTACACCATTTGCGCTTTTCCTCTTCCTTAGCGATGGTATTTGTAACCTTTTCACTGTATTTCTTCCTATACTTCAGCAACTTCTTCTTCCTCACATCAATTCTAACCATTGTTTGTCTCCTCATGGTCTCAAGCATTTCCACTAAAGGCAGAGCACGGGCTTTTTTCAGACCGCTATTGTAAGACTCTGAGAAATTGTTGAGTCCGTCTTCGCAAGTAGAAGTGGTACTGAAGAATGCACGACAGCAAGTTGTAGGATCTCTCACCATGAAGTCATCATATATCTGAGAGTCGAATGCTTGAAGCTCTTTAAGTGCAGCTTTATAATCACCCTCGTTGAAGCTATTTACCACTTCCCAATACAGTTTTTTAAACTTTGGCTTGTTGGGATGTAGCTTCTTAATGTTCCCATATACGTGTCTAGCGCAAGTACGGTGCTCTATGTGAGGAAGTTCTTCATCGACTGCCTTTATAAGACCCTGAAAATAATGAAAACAGTAAGAATATGTATTGAACTTTAAAAAAAAACATTAAGAACCTTACCTTTTGTTTGTCCGAGATAAGTGTAAACCCTTGGCCAGTTTGGAGGTTTAAATCATACTTCACCTTTTGAATGAACCACTTCCAATTGTCGGTGTCCTCAACTTGAACAATGCCCCACGCAACAGGATATATTTGATTGTTTGCGTCTCGTCCCACAGCCGCAAGGAGTTGTCCTTTTGAAGTGGATTTCATAAAACACCCATCAATCCCAATAATGGGTCGACAATAAGCTGTCCATATTGTCTTCAAAGCTTTAAAACAGACATAAAACTTGTCGAATATCTCAGCACCATCATCTCTTGTGGCTGTTACAACATCACACGTAGATCCAGGGTTTGTTCTGCCAAAGAAAACAAACAAATAAGTCAGAGAAAAACCCAACTAAATTTAGAACAAAAAATTTATAAACCAAAACTTACTCAAGGATGTGCTCTCTGTAGTCTTTAATCCTTGCAAATTGTTCATCAAACTCATCGCTTATCATCACCAATGCTCTCTTGCGGGCCTTTCTAGCGATATCATGTGTGACCGTCAAGTTGTATCTCTCTTCAATGATTTCTTGTATGACCCTTGGCATCAATGCGTTATCGTGTCTGATCTCATTTATCAGAAGCTTAGCAATCACATGATCAGTCAATAACTTGCAATACCCATCTTTGGTGCAAGTATGCTCTTCTTGGAATGCCTTCACCACGTACTTCTGCACTGATTTTTCATAAGAGCAGTAGATTCTCCAAGTACAAGGAATCTCACCCACTATTGCACACTTTGCCTCCGAAATTTTATCTCCCCATCTTGTGTATTTGACATTCCAACCTCCCATCAACGCGTATTCTAACACAGCTTCCTTGAACTCGAATATGCTTTCAAAAAGTTGCATTATTTTCAACTCTCCACTTCCTCTTCGCCATCTTTCATAGCCACTTTCGATGTCACCTTCTTCATCATCCGACCCTGGAGGTGTATCTCTATGCGCTTCATCGTACTCTTCCTCATCGACAAACTCAGAAACGATTTCTTCTACACGCTCATCCCGTGGGTCAGGTTCATTATTATCTTGTATTCCCGAATCACCACCATCCTGCGAATCAGTTTCCATATCAGGCGCTTCTGGTTGAGAATCTTGCAAAGCTGATTCACTCTCTACAGCCTCATTGTTAACATCTTGGTGCTCAAGATAGATTTCCACTGTCTTTACATATTGTGTAGCATCACACATGCTTTGGAAGTTTAAACCACCATCATACAACACCCTCAGAGATGATAATCCTTCATAAGGGAACTTGAACCAAACTCTTTGCCCATACATATCAACAATATCAGCCGAGATTATCCCACCAAATAGACATTGAGGAGCTGTTTCAAGATGATGAATTTTTCCCTCAACATAGGTTAGACCTCCTTCTGAATTCTCAAACTTCCCGTCGTAGTATATAATGAACGTGATATCATTATCCCCACTGCAAAAAATATATAACATCAGTTACAGAAAAAAAAAATCATGACAATATATTCATTGACACATTTCATCGAACACCTTATGTGCTCTTGAGTATCTTCTTCTACTTTCTAACAAATCCATAATTACATATACCCATCATCCTTTACATATACCCATCATCCTATTACAACACGGGAAATACCCTCCTATCACCCCTAACCGATTTAATTATCAAAACTAAAGCTATTGATTTTCTCAGATAATAGGATTGAACTTACCTCATTCCAACAATTCTCTCTCTCTTATGTGTGATTGCAGCTTCTCTAAATCCTTCGCAATTCTTCTTTCTCGTTCTTCCTCTCTCTCTCTCTGTTCTGTTCTTTTTTCTTTAGTCCCGACAATAACAAGAGAGAAAGGTGAGTTTTTTGTTTCTGTAAAAAAAGCAAAACGTCGACGTTTTTAAGCGGCTACAGTGACGTCGTTTTGGGTTAACTCTTTACTGATTTCCCCCGTAATATCCACGTAATTATCCTCTAATCCACATAAGCATCTGTTAAGTCCACATAAGACACCGTTATAATTTGACTAACGGCAAGTCGGTCAATGTATGAATTAGCTAAAAAAATTCGGTTGATGTATGAAATTTAAAAAAAAAGTGAGTTGATGTATGTTTTTGCACAGGTATGGAGTTCATGTACTGATCGGGACCGCGGGTGCTATGTTGGTGTATGAATTGGCCATTTTCCCGTGATAGTGAGGAATCTCGAGGGCATTTTCGAACTGATGCTTTAATTTTATATTTAAAAAAAAAAAAAACTTAATTTTCAACCTTGTTTTCACACGATATATGACGTCATTTTCCTTTTGTTAATTATTTAATTCCTTTTTCTCTGAGAGTAGAGAGAGACTTGTCCTAACCTCACCGCTGTTTCTCGTAACCATTCTCTTTCTGTGGACGAAACTCAACGTTTAAGAGACCAGAGATATCGAGACTGAGAGAGCATTAGCCTTAGAGAGAGAGAGTCATAGAGAGTTTGCTCAAGACAAAGAAATGGCATTGAAGCTAAACCCTTTGGTATCTCATCAGCCTTACAAACTCCCATCCTCCTCGGCTCGTCCGCCAGTTTCTTCATTCAGATCTCCAAAGTTCCTCTGCCTCGCTTCTTCTTCTTCTCCCGCCCTCAGCTCTGGCGCCAAGTCTGTCTCTCTTTCTCTCTCTCTTACATTATCTAACTTTATGATTTGTCTGTCTACAAAAGAGATTTGGTTCCTTTGTGTTCACTTGGGGGGTTTTGCTTGTTTTTGTCGGTTATGGATCTCTAGGTTCTGTCGATAATTAGCTCATTTGTCTTGTTTACATCATATTTGCTTTAGTATTAACATCAATGGATGTGCTTTCAATCTATAGATGCGACCGAACATCCTCTGTTATTCTCTGTCTCTGGCCATTGCTCCTGATTCTCTTACTAGATTCGTTTATCATACTATGCACGATGTGAATTACAATATCATAACATTTCTAGATTCATTCACGTTTCCTGTTTCTCTGAGATTGTTCCATGTATAATACTAGGCCTTTACAATCATGATTATTCTGCATCTTAACATTTGTTATGAGCTTTAGATTGTTTTTGAGAGACATGGTTTTTGACATTTCTTCATTGTTTCAAAATAAAATTCAATCTTTTGATGTTTTACTGTGTGGTTTTCTTTTTTTTTTGGTTTATATTTTGACGATGAAATGCATGTCCACTTGTTGCTTAATTCATTGGATGAGTTTTTTTTTTTGTTTCTGTGCATTGAGATTTGAGAGGAGGTTCATGAACGTGTCAGTTTATGTTTGTTTTCTTTCTTGAAACTTGAAAGACATTACGTTGGATGTTATAGAGAGGGCTTCATTGAGAGAAGACATGCATGCGTACTTCGTGGCCTTTCTCTAATAGTTTCCGTCCAAAAGTGTCACTCTTTTCTTGTCATATATTCACCTCTGTTTTCAAAACGACATTTGGCTTCTTCTTTTTTTTTTCTAATCTTGTTTCTATCTGATTTTTTTTTTTTTCTCTCTACCTTTCACTCCCCTGCAAATTTTTGTATGTTTGCGTCACATTGCCTAGTGAACATTGAACTGCGAGACTGATTGATAGATCCATACATAACATAGAGTGTCTTACATTTAGGGAGTTCTAGATGTTCACTGGTCACTAATTATCGAATTGTTTCTCTTCAATGTGTGGATTAATCTACTTAAGAGACATGAATGCTTATACAAATGCAATCACAAGTGTTCATGTTTCGTCTCCGTGCATCAGAGACTAAACCTTTTCTGATGGTTATAACTAAAGGCTGATGATACACTTTCTTTGGTTGATGCAGGGAGGTCGAGAGTTTGAAGAAGCCATTTACGCCACCTAAGGAAGTGCACGTTCAAGTCTTGCACTCCTTGCCACCCCAAAAGATCGAGATATTCAAATCTATGGAAGATTGGGCCGAGCAGAACCTTCTAATTCATCTCAAGGATGTTGAGAAGTCGTGGCAACCCCAAGATTTCTTACCCGACCCTGCATCTGACGGGTTTGAAGAACAGGTGAGGGAGTTAAGAGAGAGGGCAAGAGAGCTTCCTGATGATTACTTTGTTGTTTTGGTGGGAGACATGATCACAGAAGAAGCGCTTCCGACCTATCAAACTATGTTGAACACTTTGGATGGAGTTAGGGATGAAACTGGTGCTAGCCCCACTTCATGGGCCGTTTGGACAAGAGCTTGGACTGCAGAAGAGAACCGACATGGTGATCTTCTGAATAAGTATCTTTACTTGTCTGGTCGTGTTGACATGAGGCAGATTGAGAAGACCATTCAGTACTTGATTGGATCAGGAATGGTGAGATAGTCTTAGACCTTTTGCTTGGTTTGATATGTCTTTCTAATTCCTTTGACTTATCTTTTGTAGGATCCACGCACAGAGAACAATCCTTACCTTGGCTTCATCTATACTTCATTCCAAGAAAGAGCAACCTTCGTCTCTCACGGGAACACAGCTCGCCAAGCCAAAGAGCATGGAGATCTCAAACTAGCTCAAATATGTGGGACAATAGCTGCAGACGAGAAGCGTCACGAAACAGCTTACACCAAGATAGTTGAAAAGCTTCTTGAGATTGATCCTGATGGTACTGTGGTGGCTTTTGCAGACATGATGAGAAAGAAAATCTCAATGCCTGCTCACTTGATGTACGATGGGCGTGATGACAACCTCTTTGACAACTTCTCTTCCGTGGCTCAGAGGCTTGGTGTTTACACTGCCAAAGACTATGCAGACATTCTTGAGTTTTTGGTTGGTAGATGGAAGATTGAGAACTTAACCGGGCTGTCAGGTGAAGGAAACAAAGCACAAGACTATTTATGTGGGTTGACTCCAAGAATCAGGAGATTGGATGAGAGAGCTCAAGCAAGGGCCAAGAAAGGACCCAAGATTCCATTCAGCTGGATACATGACAGAGAAGTGCAGCTCTAAGAGACAAAGACATTATAAACCCATTTTATCTCTCTCCGTTCCTGCTCTTGAAATTGGTGTAGATTACTATGGTTTCTGATAATGTTCGTGGGGTCTAGTTACAAAGTTGAGAAGCACTATATGTTTTGTGTTTGGTCCTTTTAGCAAACTTGTAGTAGTTCAAACAGTTTGAATGTCTGGTCTGTACTCAGTTTTCACTGTGGAGTTTTGTTTCAGTTCAGGTTAGTTTTTGGTGTGAACTTATATGCTACTTCTCTGTTTCTAGGCAAGAACTCATGTGGCTTTTCATGCGTGAAATCTATTCATATTCTAAATCCCACAAAGAAACGAGAGTTGCAGCTAAGCGGCTCTTTATTACATAAGAGAAATAGAAAGATGACACAAGGACATTGCATGCTCCATTGGAGCTACATTATTTTAGAGAAAACCAAACTACTTATGAAGGCTGCTACAAGACGACATGTTTAGTCAAATGTAAGAGATCATGGTACGTCCCTTCTCGTCCCATTCAGTGTCATCTGGTACGTTCCATAGCTCGGCAAATTCACCGAGGTTCAATGTCGCTCTTTTTCCCACTTGTCCTGCTCGTATCATCTCTTTACAAGAAACAAATACAGTAATTTTAGTAGGATAGAGAGATGGAGAAACTAAGGACGATTATATAAGATACAAGTCTTGTGTAAAACCCTAGAGAGTCTTCGTGATGCATTTTAGTTCATGTTCATTGGGAGCAAGCTAGACAAGTTTCCAAGTACATTGAAGTGAACCCTTGAAAATTGTGCGTGAGGAGACTCTCCGTTTGACCAAAACCTGGTTTACAAATTACAATAGGGTGCAGTGGTGTGAGGATCTCTGTCCTTAGATGGAATATTGATGTGCTTTTGGGTCTTCATGTTTCATAATTCATATCCACAGAGCTACTATCAATAAATAACCTTTGCGATTCCACAAGCAATAATCAGATTTCAAAACTCATGATTTTATCAAGGGACAGTTACGGCTTTTGCATTTATTAATAAACACCATTTGTGTTGCACATTCACATTGCAAAATGTAAATATACAGTAGACGTAGAGATTTTCTGCAGAGACGTCTTTCAGGAGAAACTAGAAAGAAAGAAAAGAAGTGATTCTCTTGTTGGTCAAGAAATTACAGAGAACATTCAAAGCTCAGGCTGAATTTTTCTCGCACTCATCTCGGATAGATTGGAAAACCAGGGTTGAGAGGTAACCGAATTCTGTTGAGAAGTGCAGCTCTAATAGACAAAGACATAATACCATTTTCTCCCTGCGTTCCTCATTTGAACTGTCTGCTCTTGATATTGGTGTAGATTACAATGGTTTCTGATTATGGTCGTTTATCTAGTTACAAAGTCGAGAAGCAGTGTGTTAGTAAACCTTGTTTTTTCCAGTCCTTATCTGTTTTATAGTAGTTAAAACAGTTGATCGTTTGGTCTGTACTCAGTTTTCACTGTGGAGTTTTATTTAGTTGAAGTTAGTTTTTGTGTGTTCTCTCTGCTTTTTCTAGACAAGAACTCATGTGGCTTTTAGCTTTGGTGGACGATCTTGAATCATATGAACATATGATGAATGATATACCAACGTATGATTTTGCCTACTGGTGATGGTGTTAACACATCTACTTCATCTTGTGAACATTCCTAAAATGTAGTCGCATTCTTATCCAACAAACATATGAGATTAATAGGAACTGTGATGAGAGAACATAAACACCAGTCTGTCTATCTTAGATTGTTGATGGCTGCTAGAAGGCGTTGATGTTCCAATTTTTCACGTTTAACCACCATGCTGCCGTACCTAGCAATGGGGCTCACATAGATACCAATCGATGAGAGATTACTCTTGCTGTAAGACCCGAAGAAACCCCCAAACTCGCGTCTATCACGTATCCCTGGATCAATCTATCTTAAATCCAGTCGCAGAGTACTCGTGAACACTTCCAACAGGTCCATGCTCCCCACAGTTAGTGTGGAATGTTAAACTTCTTATCCCTTCATGCACTCCATATCCATGTACTCCACTCAAACCAGTCACATATTCATCTTCTTTCTGTATGACCTGCATCAGAGACTTAACTTCACAAAAGCTTACTAAACGAAAAGAGATGTTTTTCTTACGGATACAAAACTTACAGCTCGAAAGCTGTGTCCCTGACGGTGTCCCTCAGAGAGACCAAACTCCGTAGACAGGGTCAGAGCTTCATCGTCTTCGCTATTCAAGTAACCAAACTGAATAGATGTTATGAAGGTGTTGTAAGAAACGTATATGTGAGAGATGATGTTGCGTCCCTTCTCGTCCCATTCAGTATCAGCTGTCTCCTCCCCATTCTCGTCATATGGCTCGTCATATGTTGCTCTTGTTCCCACTGATCCTGCTTTTATCATCACTCCAGAAGAAGCAGATACCATAGTTTTGGAGGAATAGAGAAGATCAGACTTAGAAAGATCATATTATATAGTACTGTCTCGTGTAAAACCGAAAAGACTCCTCATGCATTTTAATTTATGGAGTTCATTGGGAGCAATCAAGCTACACAAGTTTCCAGATACAATAAGTATACAGAATATGAACAGTTTCAGACTTTTTAAAATTCATGATTATATCAAGGGACAGTTATGGCCTTTGCATTTATTGCTAAACACCAATTGCGTTTCACATCCACATTGCAAAATGCAAATATACAGTAGACGTAGAGATTTTCTACAGAGGTGTATTTCAAATTTTCAAAAGAAACTAGAAAGAAATGAAAGAGGAGGTTCCTTGTTGGTCAATAAATTACAGAGTAAATTCAAAGCTCGGGCTGCATGTTCTCGCATTCATCTCGGATAGACTGGAAAAGCAGGGTCGAGAGGTAACGTTCCCCAAAGCTCGGGAACACAACCTGGCAACAAAGATTCACCAATTCACAATTCATACTTCAATCAAACATGTGAATTCCCTGAGATATATAATATGGAATGACATATAAACTCCACAAGCTCTCTCTTTTCACTTTCTGGTCATAGATAAAGGACTAAGGTTTGATGAGGCAAAGAGATGAAACCAACGCAAATGTAAGTAACCAAAGGCATCAAGTGATCATACGTGTAAAGCAAACCAACTACTTGAGAAAAAAGCAGTAAGACTTGAGGGTTTAAGTTAATAACTCTATGCTATTTTTTAATTATCCGGTGGTTGGACAAAGGCTCACAGATAGAGGACAAGGGTGTGGAGTGTGGTGAGGAATACCAAACAGGGAATCGTTCTACTTAATAGCTAATAATTCAAGTTCCACCACGCAAAAGATGATGAAGAGCATAGATGAGACTGTGAGGACTTACAGCAATGAGTTTCCCAGCATTTTCAGGCCTCTTTGCGACCTGGATTGCAGCAGCAGCAGCAGCTCCAGAAGATATACCAACCTGAAGAAGTTACAATAAGTCGCAAATCATCACAGACATCTACTACCACTCGGTTCATTTCTCCTTTAAAGACTGTTCCCATACAGAGAAAAAAATAGACTAACCAACAAGCCTTCTTGGAGAGCTAGTTGCTTTGCGGTTTCAATAGCTTCCTCACTGGAAATCTGATAAGAAACAAGGAAACAGGTGAAGTTTGTATCTCAAAACCCTGGAAACATTTCACAGCTCAGTTAAATGATAACCAACAAGAATATAGCAGATGTCTTGCCAAATTGGAACCATAAGATGTCTTTTAGAGATCACAACAAGCGGATCATACCGCTATGTATTCATCTACAACAGTCTGATCCAAATTCTTAGGAATAAATCCAGCTCCAATTCCTTGAATCTTGTGAGGTCCTGCATTTTAAATTACAAGACAAATCAACTACAGGTTCAGAGAGTAATGCGGCAGAGGTGCAAGGAAAACAATATCAATGCCTTACCGGGTTTTCCTCCAGAAAGTATGGCACTCTCCGTGGGTTCAACACCAATAACCTGGTATACGTAAACATCAACTAGATTAAACATAAGTTTTACAACTTAAACAAAACACATCTCTAACTAATGAAGGTTTTAACATCCACATATGAATTACAATTGAGATTCCGTAAGCCCCTTGTCTATCTATATACCTTCAGTTCAGGTTTCCTTTCTTTAATGTATCGACCAACACCAGTGATGGTTCCACCAGTTCCAATTCCGGCAACCAATATATCCACCTTGCCTCTTGTATCTTCCCAAATCTCAGGACCAGTAGTCTCGTAATGAATCTGAAGATTATTTATATTAAAAACACTATCAGATACCTTGCAGCTCAAAGAGCCGGAATATGCAGAAGAGTTTCATTATTTTCTCTATCTAGCCCTTTAGAGTGGAGAACTAGAGATAAAACTAGTTCATGATTCATGCCAGAGTTAAGAGAATCGAAATGTAAGGAGAAGTAACCACAGACCTTGGGATTGGCTGGATTGTCAAACTGTTGGAGCATGTAGGAGTTGGGAGTGTTTTTCAAGATTTCTTCAGCCTTCTGAATAGCTCCAGTCATGCCCTTTGCAGGTTCAGTTAGTATAAGCTCAGCTCCAAACGCCCTCAAAAGAACCCGTCTTTCCAAACTCATGGACGCGGGCATGGTCAGGATAAGCTTATAGCCTTTTGAAGCAGCAATAAACGCAAGACCAATCCCAGTGTTTCCACTTGTAGATTCCACAAGAACACTCTAGAACAATGAAGCAAAGAAAAAATAATAAGAGTGCAGAGTTAAACGACCACGAAAATGAACTACTTACAAAATCTATAACCAGGCAATAAGCTTTCTCATCTCATTCTCGGTCTAAAGCATAAAGACCTAAACCCATGATCAGATACCTTTCCAGGTGTGATAAGTCCTTTTTCCTCAGCATCAGTAATCATACTATACCCAATCCTGAAACCACCATATCAATAGAACCTTAGAATAAACATATGTGAAGATACCACCATCCCATAAATCAAATCTGTTAATACACAAACCTATCTTTGACACTGCAACAAGGTTCCATAATCTCAAGCTTAGCAGCAACACTTGCAACACAACCCTTGACAATATTGTTCAAGTACACCATCGGAGTTTTCCCAATAAGCTGCATCAAATTCACAAGTCAAATTCACACACACTTTATGCTCTAAAGATGAGAAATTTTCATCACTAACTTAGCTTCCCTTTCTCTATTAATGCAAAATGAAACACTATTTTGAAGGAAAACCACATCTTACCTGAGCAGCATTGTCAGCAATATTGAGCCCTTCAACTCCAGCTTCGGGCTTGACAGACACAGCCTTGCACACAACACTGCTACACCTCTGGCTCTGTCTCTTGAGAGAGAGAGCAGCCGGGAGAACATCGAAAGTAGCCGCCTTTCTAGAGGATACGGAGAGAGAAGAGAGCTCAGGGGAGTATTTGAAAGGACGGTGGCGAGAAGTCAACGGATTAAGGAGGAAAACAGAGGAAGATGATGTCGCAGCCATGATTGATACAGAGAGAGAGAGAGAGAGAGAGATGCTTCTTTCTTCCTCCTTTGCGGTTTGGTTACAATAGACAGTGATTAGATCCTAAACGACGTCGCTTACAGAAGTTTTCACTGATTCTGCCTTTCCTTTGAAATGGTTAAAAACGTAAAAAAAGCAGAGTATCTGGAGAAAAGAAGAGACTTTGAAAACAAAAATAACATTTCTGATTTGTCTTTGTCTGATACTCACCAACTTACTAGTCCTCCGCTGGATAGGTGAATATTGAGCACATGTTATTCTTCATCATCTAGCCCCACCTAACCCCGAAAGGTCAGATATGATACTATAATCTTCTTCTCTGGATATTTTCTTTTATTGGTTTTGATTCTGCGTAGCTGTTAAAGTTATTAGTATTACTTTAATTCTAAAAAGATGTTGAAACAGAGACGATTCTTGTTTGTCGTTATCTCTATGTTTCTGTGATTCTTCTCTTCCATTCAATTCAACCCCGAAGCCAAAAACAACAAGGATAATAGCCTTTTAACGAGTTTTTGGTATAAGTTGTTTTCTCTGTTTCGATAAGCGATTCTTTCGATGTGAGACACGTTTGGAGTGTGTTCATATGTCTCTTCTCTTACTGTAAAGTTTAAACTGTGATCTTCCCATAAGGCTTGGGCAAAGAAGATCTCTCATTTGCTATATGTTGCCTCTCTTACGAAGCTGTTTGATTAGTAGTTTTCTAAATGTTAAGTAATCGTGTTGTTGATTGGCTCTACCTGTAGGTATAATCGTTTAAGCTTGGTTTAATCTACCTGAAACATCTGTTGTTTTTGAGGTTTTACACTTCACAAGGTTCCTGTTGTATTGGACTGTGTCTGGAGGAGAACCAAATATGTCATCGGATGAGAAGAACCTTATAGAAATATTGGAGGAAGGTCACAAGGTAGATATAGCTAAGTACATCAACTATGTCAGTGCCCCTCAAGCTGGTGCTATAGCTACATTCTCAGGCACTACAAGAGACATGTTCGAGGGAAAAGCAGTTTTGGAGCTAAGGTATGAAGCATATGTACCAATGGCCACACGATGTCTCAGCTCCATCTGTACAGCCGCTAGATCAAACTGGGACATACATAAGATTGCTGTTGCTCACCGTCTGGGACCAGTTCCCGTTGGAGAAACCAGCGTGTTCATCGCTGTCTCATCTGTTCACCGTGCTGATGGTTTAGATGCTTGCAAGTTCTTGATCGATGAGCTCAAGGCAACCGTTCCGATTTGGAAGAAAGAGGTGTACACTAATGGAGAGGTTTGGAAGGAGAATAGTGAGTTTCTGGAGAAGAGGTTGGAGCTAGTAGAGAAGAGAGACGGTTTGGTGAAGAAACCTGTGGTTGGAGAACATAAAAGAAGTTGCTGTGGAAGTAAAGTTAGAGTACAAGAAGATGAAGAGCACAAAGATAACAGTTCTTCTTGATTACTTATAGCAAAAAACAATGTTTTCTTTCTTCTCAATAAGCAAAACGTCTTAAAACACACATTGTTGAATCTAAAGACTTTCCATTCAAACTTAGTTGCAAATGGTCTCACAGCTTTAAAAACTCTCAGATCTCTCCCAGGTAGATATCTTTATCGCTACTGCAAGAACCAATGATAGGCTCAGTGGGGTGAAACACACACTCATTGACAGAGCCTTTATGGCCTGGGAGCTTATAGAGAATGCGCCGAGTAGTTGTGTCCCAAATATGAACCATACGGTCTGCACTACCAGCAGTGACTTTAGTACCATCAGGTGACCACGAACACTTCAGCAGGTTCTTCTCAAAGTTGTGTTGATGCCCTTCAAAGACCTTCACACATCGGTTTTGTGGAGCGTAAGGACGCATGTCCCACACACAGAGCTTGTTATCCATTCCATTGGTGAGAAGGTAAGAACCGTCTGGACTCAGGCTCATTCCCGTGATTGTATCTTGATGACCCTCAAGTGTCATGGTAGCTTCACCTTTTCGCAAGTCCCAAACCTTAACATCATTGTCTACACCTCCAGTGAAGATCTTATCAGCTGCATCAGAGAAACTCACTGCTGTGATCTGATACTTATCTGGAAACGTCTGTATGGCTCCTCTCTGACGCATATCCCAAAGCTTAGCAGTTCCATCATCAGATCCACTGATGATCAAAGGCGGTCCTCTACGTGTAGGACAGCAAGAATTCACAAACGAAGAATGCTCAGCCATCTTCTTAACTTGTTTCCCAGTTTCAACATCCCACGCCCTTACAGTTTTATCCGGACTAGCTGATACAATCATGGACCCGTCACCAGTCCAATGAAGATCAAGGATAGCGTTCTTGTGACCTTTCAGAACCATAAAATTCTTGCAGTCACCATGAACTCTCCAGAGAAAAATCTCCCTATCATGAGATCCAGATGCAATCACAGTACCAGCTGGATTGAACTTCATGGTGTAGACAGCACTCGGATGACCAGTTAGCAGCATAATAGGTGCTTCAAGGCTTGATGTCCTCTGCTTCCCATAGGGACCAGGTCCTGAGAAAGTTGATATCTCCATTGGCCTTGGACCTGACAAAGCGTTATCATCTTCTCTTGGCATGATCTCCATCTTTAGCCTCTGTGTCACAAAGAAAGAAACTAGCACACTGATCAAACTTTATTCATATAAACACTAAGAAGTATTAAGAAAACCTCCACACCCTAAAATAAAGCAAAAAGGTTGCAACTTTAGGTCTTTGATCTTATGTGCTAACCTTCTTTCTAGATCTCTATAAAGGTCGTAGCTTTGGACTAGTTGAAGCAAATCTTGTAGCTAAACGTACTTAGGCGTAAAAACCCTAAACACACAATCCTAATTCAACTCCAATTACAAAGAAAAGACTGAAGATTTAAAGACGAGAAAAGCTAAGTAGAGACCATGGTTTCGCAGAAAAGGCTTCTTAAGAGCTAAGCTGCTTACAAGAAGAGAAACCTACGATGAGTTAAAGAGAAAGATGATACGTACCTAAGTGAAATAACGGCGAGAAAGGTACAAAGCGCTCAACGTCGTTGCTACACTACCGGAACCCTAAACTCAGAGAGAAGAAGCTCGCAAGAGAAAAGGAGAGAGCTTTAGAGAAAATAAACAGTTTGTTAAATATTGATACGACGACCCTTATATTTTAAATGGATTATAGAAGGAACCCCATAGTAATTTATATTTATAAAATAACCATCACCTGCAAGTTTTTAGCCAGACATGTACATATACTTATCTAACTGTTTTGATTGACTTTTGAGTGAGTAACATAACGTTATGGACAAAAACGTTGTAACAAACATTTAGGTACAAGATTATGATCAATTATAACATCAAAACGAAGTCCTGAATAGACATTCTCTTATTTAACCATTGTATTAAGGATTGGACTTGAGACTCAAACTTAGATGAGTCTGAATCAATTCAAGCCTAAAGTCACTAAAGTAATAACTTTGGAAGACAAAGATAAACAAGACATCACAGGCCAGTGAAATAATCAGGTCTTTGATGGAGCAACCTTGGGGTCGGTCTCAACCTGTTTTTGGTCTTCAAACTTGTCTATAGCCATTTGAAGCTCATCAGTGCCACCAACGGCCCTCATTGTGTAGAAATATACTCCAAATACAAAGGCTGTCAAGCCTCCTGCTACAACCGCGTTCTTGCTTTTCAGGCCTAGAAAACTCAAACCTGGAAATCCTGACATTGTTTCAAAGTCTTTATAACCTGCTGGAGATTCAAGAAAGCGTGTTAAAAGATGTTAAATGTCATACAAGACACCCAAGTATCAGAAACGTTGGCTTATTGATTTATCTTCAAAAATCACAGTACTCTGAATAGGATGAGTAACAATGAGAGAAAGTGAGAATCAAGAAGGTCGAACATTGATCACATAGTGAAACCAATCTGTTTTAAGTAGATTAAACAGATACAAACAAGTTTTCCATTTGCTATTCCTAAACCCTAAGAACTACTATACCAAAGACAAGTGTGACATGCAAAGATCATGAGTAACATAATAATAATGATGTGAGAAGCTAAAGATTGCAAAAACAGAACAGAAAGGAGACAGCGAATCCCACTGAGAGACAATCATTCGCTCACCTTCATGCGCATCAGTTACACATAATTATTCAAAACTTTATTTTAACGATTAAATCAATCAATAACCAACCATCAACAAAAATTCGGATTGAAAGGCAATTAAAAACGCTAATTTTTACATCGGATCAATTGCTCTTAATTGGAAAATTTTATTACATCCTAAAGCTAACATCTTTAACCACAAAGAGCTCTAACAGATCAAAATGAAAGCATAAAACATCGATTCACATATCATTTTCTCACTATCTAAACAAATTAATCAAAGGATCACATGATTGAAATCGAATCAAAGGGAACCTGTACGTTTTGAAGATCACTCGGAAGTTCGAAAAGAAACACAAAAGCCTAGTAAAGGTTTCGTCTTTTGATGACAACTGGTTCGAAAACTGTCGGTGTCGTTGCCACTTGCCAAACCCTAAACCCACAAAGAAGGTACTAGATGCAGAGAACTAGCCGTCTCGTGTTCGACTGAGCTGTAATACAGTTTATTCATTTGGGATTTTATTTTGTTAAATATGGATAACATCCCTATAATCTAGAAACAATATCAAACTGGATACCATACTTCTTTTTATTACAACTTACCCCACTTATTTGTTTAGAATACAACGACTTAAAAAACCTATTTTTTGTGATTTTTTTTTTTTTTTGATAATCCAACTATCCGGACCTCTCACATAGTCCGATTATCCCATCATGTTCAATTGGGAATGGTGAGGAAGGTCCTGGAGACAAACGAAAACCATGTTAAATCCGTTGTGGCTGGGACTCGAACTCGTGATAGCGAACACCTCAGCCGAGGTTATTTTTTATTTTTATCATTTTTAATTTATTCTTTTGTGATCTTTGATTGGTAATTGACTCTTTTTTTTTGAAAAAAAAATTGGTTGTTGAATCTTACGACATGCAAATAAACTTTGTCTTAGTTTTTTTTTTTTTTTGCTCATAAACTTTGTCTTACACGTAAGAGAATCAAAGATGTTTTTATTTTATAAAGATGATTGACATCTGGTTTACTTACACGTAAGAGAATCAAAGATGTTTTTATTTTATAAAGATGATTGATTCCAAAAAAAAGGAGTAAAACCAAACCAAAATTAGAAAATACCATAAATGATATCCACTATTTATGGTTACTTTGTGATTTGTTTCCACCCAAACAAGGTTACATTCAAAGTCTTATCATCGTTAATGACAAAGATTATCACTAAATCTAAATCAAGCATTTTTTTACAAAACAAGAAAGAAAGAAAAAAACATTATCTTCTTAAGTGTGAAAAAAAAATGTTCACATCAAAAGAAAGAACTTTACCATTTAAAAACAAATGATGCAACAGTGTTTTTCTCCCACACAGGTCAAGTGACGACCCATAAAAAGATCCGACTCTCTCTTCAGATTTCTCTTCGTTCATTCGATCCACACACACAAGGAACCCCAAAAAAGTCTCTTCCTTTCTTCTTCTAATGGATGGTAACGTGGGTCAACCGGCTGCTGATACAGAGATGTCTGAAGCTACAGGCGGTGCTGCTCCTTCTAATCAGATGACGGGGATAGAGAATATTCCGGCGACTCTCAGCCACGGAGGGAGGTTTATACAGTATAACATATTCGGGAACATCTTTGAGGTCACAGCTAAGTATAAGCATCCCATCATACCTATTGGCCAAGGTGCTTACGGCATCGTCTGGTAAAAGAAAATTTTATAATTCTTTAATTTTCAGTTTCTCAAAAAAAAAAGAAAAATACAATTTTGTTGATTGGGTTTGGTAAAGTTTCGAACTTTGGTCCGAAACGAAACATGTCTTTTCGAACTCATATGTTTGGTTTTGTCGTACAAAGCTTTTTATCTTTTTTGTTTTTTTTTGTTTTTTTTTTATTTTTCTTTTTTTGCAGTTCGGCTATAAACTCTGAAACTAATGAGAGCGTTGCGATTAAGAAAATTGCAAACGCTTTTGATAATAAGATTTATTTAAAGAGGACTCTCCGTGAGATCAAACTGCTTCGTCACATGGATCATGAGAATGTTAGTTTTTCTCTTCTTTTTTTTTCAAAACCAAACATCTGAGTTCCATAATAGGCTGATAGATTTTAGTTAATTGCACAAAAACTACTTTGATTCATATGTGAATGAATGTGTTGATTCACAACATGTTACATTACCTGTTGACAGTATTGGTGCGTGCATTTTACTCAGTTTGATGCTTATGGTTTTGACGTAGTTAATAGTATGGTATCTTCCATTTACTTTAATAGATCTTACTTTTATAGAAACCGAATTTACAAAACAGTGTGTATATCATTTCCAATTATGGTAGTTTCCATTTATGGGAAGAGATCTTACTTTTGTAGAAACAAATCTGAAATCTCAAATGAGTGTGTTTATCATTTTCCAATACCAACAATTACAACAATAACCATCTGTTTTTGTATTCAGATTGTTGTAATCAGAGACATAATACCGCCACCGCTAAGAAACGCTTTCAACGATGTTTACATCGCTTATGAGCTAATGGACACTGATCTCTATCAAATCATACGGTCTAACCAAATTTTAAAGGAAGACCATTGCCAGGTTCCTTGAGTTTTGAAGATTGTTTTTTCACCTCTAAACCAGCTTGAAATTTTCTCATTAACCTTTATTTCCTTTGTGCAGTATTTTCTTTACCAGATCCTGCGTGGATTGAAATACATTCATTCAGCAAATGTGCTTCACCGTGATTTGAAACCGGGCAACATCCTCCTCAACGCAAACTGCGACTTGAAGATATGTGATTTCGGGCTAGCTAGAGTCACGTCCGAGAGTGATTTCATGACTGAGTATGTTGTCACGAGATATTACCGTGCACCAGAGCTGCTTCTAAACTCTTCTGATTACACTGCAGCTATCGATGTTTGGTCTGTTGGTTGTATTTTCATGGAGTTAATGAACCGTGAGCCACTATTTCCTGGCAAAGAAAATGATCATCAGCTTCGTTTGCTCATGCAGGTAAAACTAGTAACCTTTCTTATCAAGCTCTATTTGACAACAAAGACCTGAAATAGAGACTTTCTCGTTTTGTGTAGCTCATAGGAACTCCATCAGAAGAAGAGCTTGAGTTCTTGAACGAAACTGCAAAGCGATACATTAAACAACTTCCACGATATCCTCGCCAATCCATGGCTGATAAGTTCCCCACAGTGCATCCTTTAGCTATAGACCTTATTGAGAAGATGCTGACTTTTGATCCTAGACGCAGAATCACAGGTCAGTAGGAGTTATTGTGTGGATCATTCCAAAAACATCTTTATATTGTTTCTTGAATAAGTTAGTTCCTCACATACATTCATGAATTTTGATACAGTTTTAGACGCTCTGGCACATCCATACCTGAATTCGCTGCATGACATCAGTGACGAGCCTGAGTGCACCATACCTTTCAACTTCGATTTTGAGCAACATGCGCTCTCAGAGGAGCAGATGAAGGAGCTTATCTACCATGAGGCGCTTGCTTTCAATCCAGAATATCAGCAAATAGTTTGAAGAAATAGCATTGGGGAGATGAGAATGGGAACATGTTTGGTTTGATCTGGACATCATTCTTGAAAAGAACAAGCACCATTGTTTGTCTTTTGTGTATACACTTGTGAGAGATGCTTGAAGGGGATTGGGATCAACGGCCTCAAACTTTTAGTTTCTTTTGTTTTTTTTTGTCTCCTGTATTTTACGTATTTGTAAGTTGCCTTCATTTTTCTTGTTGCAATTATTAAGACCTGATAAGTTCAAATCAACTGAGAAATAGTTTTCATTGTGTCAAATATTGCTGAAATACAAATTGAGTATATGATGAACAAAAGTCTCAAGTCTTCAAGTGTGTCAACTCTTAAGGCTGCCAAAGAATTTAGATAAAGGCACAGGGCCATCATCCTCATCTTTTCTCTTGCTTGAGTGTCTTCCTTTTGATTTGTGTTTCTTCTCCCTTTTGGATCTTTTAGAACTTGACCTTGATCTTCTAGATTCTTCTTCGTCGCTACTTGATGATTCGGAGGATGAACTCGAGGAGGAGCTTGAGTCAGAAGAATGCCTTCTTGAACGCTGCAAATCAAGAAACACAATGTGTGTGTTATTAGAAGCTAAGCTAAACAACATAACAGAATACGTTCAAACTAAACTCAATGTAGTTGTTATAAGCAAAGACACCTTTCTCTTTTTGCTTTTCTTTCTCCTCGAATCTTTCTCCTTTCTATCTGAGACATCTCTTTCCTTCCTATCTGTAAGATCACAGCGCACATTAGAGACACAAGTCACAAACCACAGATTGTACCACATTCCATCTGATTAAGCTACAGTATGGATATACCTTTTCTGGATTTCTCGCTAGAATAGTTCCTTCCCTTAGAGAGCTTCATTGCCCTTTCAGCATCCAGCTGAGCTCTATACTCACGCATCAATTTATCAGTATCTGCTTCAAGTTCACCCTTTTTCAATTCTTCGTCCTAAGTGTGGTCACATGAAGTATACAAAGTGAGAAACGGTTCTTAATCTAGTCACAAACACAATGCAAAAGCACCTGTTGAAGAAGATGCCCCGAGTATGCAATATAAAGAGTCAACTTTCAACAATACATTAATGCTGCTAACCACTTTAGCATCAATCATTGCTTAATCTTTACATGAAGAAAGATACAAAAAAAAAACGTCAGCTTTACCTTTTGCTTCTGCTTATATTCTTCCCAAGTAATGGTGTGGGTAGTCTGGAGACCAGCCAAACGAGCAGCATGCCACTCTGGTGTATGATATGAACCATCCACCTGCCACTCGCCTCATCAGAAATGTTTTGGTAACTAATGAACGATGAATAAACATACACACCAAACAATCTACCCAGATGAAAAGTAACTTGACATAGAGAAACCAAACTAGCACTATCAAAGCCACAATGTTGAAAGCACTCAATTGAAAAATTACTCATCCAAAGAAGTAGAATCTTGCTTCAGTTGCAAAACAATCCAGAAACTCCTGAAGGGTTACAAGATCTGATTCTAGACTAACAATTAACAGTTCATCATCTCCAAAAACTTTAACTAAGCTAACAAGTAAGATCTCAGACAGCTACAGGGCTTCAAATCTAGGTCACAATCTATGCTTCAAAGAGGGGAAAGTACATAGCTTTATAACATATCAACAAGAAAGTAATCAACTTTAACAAAATTAAATCAATTGAATTTGTTTATTTATCATCAATAGTATGAAAGGGTACAAACCATGCCGTCTTCGATCTCATCCGGCGCGGCGGAGCCGGAGCTAGATCCAACTCTAGCTCTCTGCATAGCCTTGTAGCCTTGATTCTTCCCCATCGCCGAGAGGATACTTTCACGAGTAGTGGAGATTGAGGAGAGGAGCAAAAATACTGGAGATCGAGAACAAGCTCTGTTTAGTTTTAAGGTTTTTGACGTTTAACGGTATCACGAAAGAGAACTTAAGGGATTAAATTAAGAGAGCGAGAGAAATAGAGGGACCTGTGATTAAAATACCAATTCAGACCCAGAAACGGCCCATTATATTAATGGGCCTTAAAGCCTCGTTAAAAATTAACAATGTTCAGTTTTTCAAATTTGCATGAACTGATACAAAATGCCAAATATACCATACAGGCTCTTCCGTTTTTTCTCACAATTTTTATTTTCCACATTGGTACCTTTCAAATAAACTAATTATCTTTCTTGAATTATTGGAATGAATCTAGACCAAAGAAATATAGCTGACGCAATATTGGAGCACTAGGCTTTGTCTTTTCATGTTTTTACCACTTTTCTATTTTAAATGTAATCTAACTTTTTTTTACTTTATTTTCCATAACAATCTAATCCTATGCAAAAGATTATGCCTTTCACGTCTTTGTAGCAGGATTCAGTCTTCTCAGAAATACCCCCAAAAAGTTGCTTATAGATTTTGAAATATCTCGCTTTCAAATCACTGACAAGTGACAATAATAATACTCTCCTTTTACTTTCTCCTGTAGTTTTAAAATTTTAGTACTTTATAGAATTATTTGTTTGTCAACTTCCTTTATTTTCATTTTGAATCCATAAATCATAGCTTTCTCCAAAGTTCTCTTTAAAATATTGTTTGAAATGATGATCAAAATAAAATCACATTTGTAATCAACAATAAATAGTGATGGCGATGATTCATATTCAAATGGTGCATGTCGTGTGTAATCTTAGCTGAGAAAGTAACACTGTAATAAAATAGCTTTGTGAAGTGGGGTTGTGTCCTTGAGAAACCGGAACAAGCGACAGCCGGTGGAGAATAAGGGTAGAGAAGAGTGAGGAAGACTGACACGTGTGCGATAAAGAACAACAGTGAATGACAACTGAACATCCTGGATTTGCGTGAATCACGGGTTTTACAGTAAAATGCCTTCGTCGTCTTGCTCTGTACGCTCTTTATGTACTCAGTTTTTGTTGGTTCGGACTATTTCTCACCGACGATTCTGTTCTACGTAGTCGTTTTGATGCTCTTGAAACTAAGGATGATTAATTAATTAAATAACTACCAAACCATTTTCGACAGGCGGAATGTTTGCTTCTCACAGTAATGTCTTTTATTAGTTAATTAATCAATCAAAAGCATGCATAAAATATTAGAGCATAATGATTTATAGGTTTCATACTTTGTTGACCTGACTAGAATGGACCAAACTCGAATAATAAACACAGCCATGTCACACAAAAATAATTGTGGCTGATTATAGTAGAGATTTCAGAACTCAAATGTGAATTTCAAAAGGAAAACGAAAATAAAAAGGTGGTGACACTTAACTCCTAAGAATAAGAGAATGCCAAGTTGAAAAAAAAAAAGAGAGAAGAGAATCTTTAGAGAAGTGGAAAATGATGCAACTCCCAACACTTATTTTTTGTTTAATTGTTATAACATAATGCAAAAAAATCTCTGTGCTAAACTTGTCTTTTGTTGTTGTATATATTTTGAATATTTTCCCATCATAAATTTTTCAGTCTCCTCAGAATTTATCTCAGTTTAGGTTTCCACTCTTTATTTTATAAACAAAACTTGACTTCTCGTCGATAATTCATGAAGTATAATATGATAGAAAATTAGTTCCTCAAGCTTTATTTTTTATTGTTAAGAAAATGTCAATCAATTTAGGTCACATTAGGACATACTTTGGTTTAAATCATCCATGCGATATACTCTTTAAACAAGTATGTCATATATAGTGCGTCTACATTGATAACATTTTTAATAGAATAAAAATTTGAAAAACTAATGTTGCTACTAGTGGTTTAAATCATATAGATAAAATAATTTTATTTTTCAACACAAACATAAGATAATTTAATTATTTAAGTTCAAGGGGGTTTATTCACTCACAATAACAAACAGAATGATCTCATCAAAATATAAACATTTGTTTATTTTCATTTGGTTCCATTTATTAATCATGTCAAAAAGGGAAATTCTAAGTATTTTTTTTCCATTCAGTATTTTCCATTCAGTATCTTCATGCTACTTTCTTATTTTACTGATGTCCAAAGTGCTCAGTTTCTATAGATGTGTAAAATTCAAACGTGTGGATATTCTATAAGTTATGGAACAATAAATGAAGATTAATACCAGCCGACCAAGAAGATCTATTGGCCATTTTGCATTATCTCAACATACATGTAACGGCTCTGTGACATTGAATCGCATGGAATACGGACTGGATCCATGCTCTCGTTGATGAAGTGAAATGCAATGTATAATGCAGTGCTGTTTAATTACGAGTTCGTTGCATACCACAGCTTCAGTGAATTTTTCTTTTTTATATATGTCAAACAATTTAAAGCCTCTATACGCAAAATAGTAATACATGCCATATGGAGTATTCCACAGAAAAGATGTTTCTAGCTAGGTACCATGTCCTTGTAAGATTTGAAATGCTAGGTAACTTAATAGATTCATCATGCAAATGATAAACGAATTAGTAAGATTTATGTTATGTGTGTTGGGATTATGATTTGTAAAATATATTGTAAGAAAATAGTTAATGCAATAACCATGCAGTTTTTGTTATTATTAGTGAAACTAACGAAAGTTATTAAGATGATAACACAAATTCTTGTGGTTTTCAATAAATTCGGTTTATTTATTACAGATTCAATGTAGTTGCGTTTGGAGAAAATGTTGACTTTGCTATTTATCACCGTCCCAGATTTTTTCCACGAGTCATCAGTATTATTTTGGCTACTTGTACTCCAGCAAGTTAAAGCAGTCTTTTCTTTACATTTACTACTCCAAGGTTTACAACAAGAAGAAGAAGAAAACCACAATGTTCAACTAACTGTGGTAGTAAACAAGTCACAATCAAAATCTTTAACGCTTATTCCTAGTGTGTGCAATTAACTGAAAAGGGTCCTAATTAACGTCTTAATCGTTTCAAAAACCTGATGAAAATTAATTGTTTCTAAACTGAAGAAAACATGTTGGGAAAGATGTCCCATTATTAGAGCAATCATTATTATCGAAAATTGATCTACCTGCTAACAATTGGTCCAACCCAACATCTCTCACTTAAATTTTTTTGTTCTGAACCAAAATTTATTATTCGATTTACAGAAAATTCCTTTAAAGCTTTTAATACTAGAATTCAGGAACATGGAAATAAATGAAGAAGAAAAAAATGAACTACCATTTCGGCATTTCGCAATCAAATCAAATACAAAGACCTAAACGAATTTAAACAATTGTGACACCTATACTTACTGTTCCCTCCAGTTTCTCTCTCTCTAAAACCAGTCCTCGTAAAGACCAAACCTTTTTTATTACTCTCTCTCTCTCTCCATCGACCAGACCAAAACAAAGGCTTTCTTCACTCTTTCTCTTTTCTCCCCACTGTCAGATTTTGAATGTAGCAAACAACATCAAGCCCAAGAAATGTCTAAAATACCCTTCTTCCTCTGTTTTGCTACCATCCTCCTCTCCTCCTCCGCCGAACAACCTCTCCACTCTCGCCACTTACTCCACCAACCCTTTTTCCCTATCATCACCGCCGCTCCACCACCGTACCAACCACCACCACCAACCTCCTCCGAACCCCCCTCGCCTTCCCCACACTCCCACCACAACCACAAGACACCTCCACCTCACGAGAAACACCTCTTCTCCTCCCTCTCAAACCCTCCTCCACCTCCTCCCTCTCCACCTCATCCAAGCACTTTCTTCCCCTCTTCCGACCCATCCTCCACCCCTTCCCACCCTCCACCATCACCTCCTCCCTCCTCTCCACACCGCCCATCTCCACTCGCTACTTTTCCCGCCAACATCTCCTCCCTCCTCTTCCCAACAAACAACAAACCTCACAACCACCACACAGCCAAACTCGTCGCCGTAACCATCTCCCTCCTCTCCGCCACCTTCCTCCTCTCTCTCCTCGCCGTCGTCACCGTCTTCCTCCGCCGCAACCGCCGCGCCTCCTCCCCCAAATCCACAAAATCAGACGCTCGCCACCTCTTTAACACCACTCCTTCCGACGGCTCCTTGAAACACAAACAGCCACCGAAGTACACTTCTTCCAACACCTCCTCTGAGTTTCTCTACTTGGGGACTTTGGTTAACTCCGGTTTAGACCAGCAGAAGTCTCCCATCTCAGTCTCTGGAAGCGTCGCCGGCGTCTTGGAGTTGCCACCACCGGCTCAAGCCTCTTCGTCTTCCTCTTCTTCTTACTCACAGTACCAGAAGCTTGGCTCCCCGGAGCTCCGTCCTCTCCCTCCTTTACCGAAGCTTCCGGTTTACTCTCCTAATTACAGAAGCACTGAGCTGTTGAACCCTAAAAGACAAGACCTTGACGGAGACGACAACGAAAACGACGAGTTTTACTCTCCGAGTGGATCTCCGGGTCGTAAACAGAGCCCGCCACGTGTCTGGGCAAGCATAAAGGAGGATTCTTGTGTTAACGGCTCGAACTCTGGTTCTGTGTCTTCATCGAATGGTTCTCCGGCAAAACCTAAGTCTGCTCTTAGTCCTCGTGTCTCGCTGAACAGTCAGAACAGCTCAAACGGCAGCGTTTCGAAGAGACCTGTTCCAACAAGACCACCACCTCCTCCTCCGCCTCCGCAGCAGCATATTCATGAGCTTCCGGATGCTACCACGTCGCCTCCTTCTGATTCGGACAAGAAAGAGGAGACCTTGAAGACAAAGTTGAAGCCTTTACATTGGGACAAAGTTAGAGCAAGCTCGAGCCGTGTTACTGTGTGGGACCAAATCAAGTCAAACTCTTTCCAGTAAGATTCTATTCTTGAAACAGGTCCTTGTTACCGTCTCTGTATACGTGTGACTAAGATATGATTCTTTGTTCTTTTGTAGAGTGAATGAAGAAATGATAGAGACGTTGTTCAGAGCTAATGATCCAACTTCAAGAACAAAGGACTCTGTAACTACAGGTGTTATTCAATCTGTGAATCAGGAGAATCAGTTTCTTGATCCAAGAAAGTCTCACAACATTGCTATTTTGCTTAGAGCTCTTAATGTAACTGCTGATGAAGTATGTGAAGCTCTTGTAGAAGGTGACAGTTAATTCAGTCTCTCTTGTTACTTATCAACTAGTTTCCATGTTAGAGGGTGTCCAAAACATTTGTGTTGTTGTTGATGAATCAGGTAACTCGGATGCGCTTGGATCCGAGCTACTCCAATGCCTGCTTAAGATGGCACCTACCAAAGAAGAGGAAGACAAGCTTAAGGAGCTTAAAGAAGTTGATGATGAGTCTCCTTCCAAGATTGGACCTGCAGAGAAATTCCTTAGAGCGTTACTCAACATTCCTTTGGCTTTCAAGAGGATCAATGCTATGCTTTACATTGTCAACTTCGAATCAGAAACTGAGTACCTTAAAAGATCCTTCCACACTCTCGAGGTAACACTCTACCTTGTCCTCTCATTAGTCTTATTGTCCTAAAGAAACTTATGTGTTTGATCAAACTTTCAGGCTGCTTGTGGTGAGTTAAAGAAGACTAGGATGTTCCTGAAGCTACTAGAAGCGGTTCTCAAGACCGGGAACCGGATGAATATAGGGACTAATAGAGGAGACGCGCACGCTTTCAAGCTTGACACACTCTTGAAGCTGGTTGATATCAAAGGAGCAGATGGGAAGACCACCTTATTGCACTTTGTGGTTCAAGAGATCATAAAATCAGAAGGAGCTCGTGTCTCCACTACTCCAACTCAAAGCCCTGTAGGAGACAACATAGCCGAGCAGACAGCCTTCCATGACGACCTAGAGCTCAAGAAACTTGGGTTGCAAGTTGTCTCAGGTCTCAGCTCTCAGTTAACAAACGTCAAGAAAGCAGCTGCAATGGACTCAAACTCCGTCGTCAACGAAGCAGCTGAACTCGCTAAGGGGATAACAAAAGTCAAGGAAGTAATCATAGAGCTAAAGCAAGAAACAGGTGTAGAGAGGTTCTTGGAGTCAATGAACTCTTTCTTGAACAAAGCTGAGAAGGAGATCACAGAGATACAATCACATGGAGACAATGTCATGAAGATGGTTAAAGAAGTAACAGAGTACTTTCATGGGAACTCAGAGTCTCATCCTTCTCGCATATTCACCGTGGTCAGAGACTTTCTGACGGTTCTTGATCAAGTGTGTAAAGAGGTTGGTCGTGTCAACGAGAGGACAGTGTACGGGTCCGTACCTAGAGCTTCAACTTCGAACCAGGTGGTCACGCCTCTTTTCCCCGTGGCTAACAATGACAACAACTCAAAGCTGAGTCACTCTGGTTCTCTAGACAACGAAGAAAAAGAAGACTTGTTCTAAGTGAAAAATGATTTGATTCGGTTGTATTCTAGTGTGTGTTTTGGTTTCATGTGATCCGTACTGAAGAAACATGTTATGTGTATTTAAATATTTGATAGGTGAGAATTTTCTAATGAAAGTTATTTAGATTTTTGAAAGTGTTTCTGTCAGATTGTGCAAGTTGCTATCAAGTTCTGTAGATATTGAATTATTTATGTCACGTATAGATGTATTTATTGACGAAATATAAAGAAGGCGGGAAAATGATTTTTACGTATGGGCCATAAATATTGGGCCTTTATAATATATACCATCCTTAAAAAATTGTTGGGCTTGGTCATGGTTACCCATCCATGGTAGACCAGTAGTTGTTATCAACTTCGGCTGCAGATGGAGCCTGACTCTCATTCATCACCATGAATGGTCATCTTCTTCTTCTTCTACCTTTTGAATTTGGCATGTAGGTTTTCTAGCAACAAGGGATTATCATCCATGTTTCATTGCAACATGTCTTTGTTTGTAAATCATATCCATAGAGAGACAACATTTTATTAAGACAAATCTTGAAGTAGGCCTTGTTTCCTTAGTCTCGAGAACCTTATTTTGCAATGTAACAACACATCTGTGGCTCCTCAAATAATTTACATACATATTTCTGTGACACCATCAATTGCGTCACAATCTGACATCACTTTAACAACATTATTTACGGAAAGAAGACAAGTTGGTATATAGTTTTGTTTAATAAACGGATTGTCTATAAAAAGATTGTATATGAAAGATTTGTTTGACTAAAATGCTCACCCACTACTTGACGTGGACATTATAACGGATGCTTCTTTTGTCTCAAACTCTCACTATTGTTGTGTCCACTACACATAATAAATTTGCACAGACGATTATAGAAAGCTTGAATTGAGTCATACGAGATTGGATCCAGTGAAATGATACAATAAAGTCTCACGTTATAGACAAGTACAAAAATGTCAGATATTTGTAAAAAAAATTACAAAAATGTCAGATATTATCGTATTAGTGAAGAAGACTATAGAGTATAGATTACTCCTTTTTCTTTTTTT